CCGGGCAACGCGCCTCTGGGCTTGGGAACGCGCCGCCTCGGGACTCCCTCCCTCTCTTCTCCTCTCCTCTCCTCGCTAAGGAATAGCTGCTCTCGTCCCCGCCGCGACCCCGGCGCTTTGCACTGGAACCCTATGTGCAGATACTTGTTTCCAAAGGTGAAATTCAAATGAAGCTCCAGGAGAAGTTTAATGCCTAGGACAGTACCTAACACAATGAAAGGTTAGACGCATATATGTTGACTATGCGCTGAATAGGCTCGCGAAGGTGAAGTGACTACTCAAGGTCACAGCTAGTGAGAGGACTGAGCGGGATTCACACCTAGGAGTTTGGGGCCTCGTGGTAAACTGAGCTTGAACCACAAGGATGATCTGAGGACTGGCAGGCTTTTCGGTGGCATATATGAATGAATCTCTACACTCATGGGACTGTGCACACTTTTTTTTTTTTTTTTTAAATAGTAGGGTAACCATGTATAAGCCCTAGATCCTCACGTTAGCCTTTTCAAGAAGTCACTGCCAGGAGTGTTGATCCCATGTGGTGTGGCCTGCCCGAGATCACAGCATGGCATAGGCAGAGTTTTGATTAACCTATGTGTGTCTTACCCCAGTTTCTGTATTCTTTTTCTTTTTTTTAAATATATTTTTGTTGATGTCAGGAAGGGAGAGTGAGAGAGAAACATCAGTGATGAGAGAGAATCATTGATCGGCTGCCTCCTACATGCCCCCTACTGGGGGTCGAACCCACAACCCCAGCATATGCCCTTGACTGGAATCGAACCCCGGACTCTTAAGTCCCCAGGCCGATGCTCTATCCATTGAGCCAAACCGGCTAGGGCCAGTTTATGTATTCTTAATCTCAGCCTGGAGAAATGAAGAGGGGATCAGAAAAGATGAATGATGCTGTTTTTGTCATCTGTGGAAACGGCACGAGACTTTATCCATAGGTGGTTTTGTTGTTTAAATAAGACAACATGTGAAAAGGAAGCATTGAGACTTGGCATCTTATTTAAGCAGAGGGTTGAATAGCACTGTGGACTAAGGATTTAACAACTTAGTACATGGAAGGTACTTGGAATACTGCCTGGTGCACAGGCGCGTGATGCTCATCCCAGCTTAAACTCTGACTTTTGGGCTTGGTCCTGTCACATCTGGCCCATTCAGCATCACCCTAGAGAAAAGAATTGGAGTCCAAAGCCTCTTAAATAATGATGATCTTGTAGGTGATATCTGTTGCCAGAGCATAAAGCCATTAGCAAATAAAGTGATAAAAATATGAATGAATAACAATAGATGAGAACAGGGTTTGGCAAACTATGGCCAATAGGCCGGATTTCCTGAGGTCTGTTTTTGTCTGTGAGCTAAAAATGGTTTTTATGTTTAGAAAAAAAATGTGTTACAGAGTCCTTGTGTGGCCTGCAAAGCCTAAACTCTTTACTCTCTGGCAAACCTCTGGTTTGGATTTAGTACCTAGAAGACACTTGGCATTTCCATGCCTCTTCATATAAATGAACAATATGCTTGTTGAAGTCATAAAATCAGGCCATACTTGTGGTCCTTACACAGTCTTCACTGAAAGTCTGTCATGACCAGGAACTGTGTGTGGATGCTCCCACCTTCAGATAGCTCATAGACAGACAAATAATAATAATTCCCATTTACACAGTATCTAAGCCAAGTACCAAGGTGGGCACTATTCTTATCCTTATTTTACAAAGGAGGAAACAGGCACAGAGAGGGCAGTAACTTGCTCAAGCTACAAAGTGGCACAAAACTCAGAATACTGAATTCTAGAGTCTGCTCTGTAATCACCACACTCTACTGGTGTGAACCAGCGGCTGCAGAGGGATGTATAGCACTGCACAGCAGTGTTGAGGGAGAGTTCCAGTATGGCTGCCAAGGACTGAGGCCTTTGTCTTCTGCTAAAAGAGAAATTCTGCCCTGGCCGGTTTGGCTCAGTGAATAGAGTGTCGACCTACGGACTGAAGGGTCCCAGGTTCAATTCCAGTCAAGGGCACATGCCCGGGTTGTGGGCTTGATCTGCAGATGGTTCTCATCATTGATGTTTCTGTCTCTCTCTCCCTCTCCCTTCCTCTCTGAAATCAATAAAAATATTTTTAAAAAATTTTCAGGGATTTAGAAAAAAAAATAATAAAAATAAAAGAAATTCTTTTTCCCTCACCTGAGGATATTTTTCTATTGATTTTTTAGAGAGAGTGGAAGGAAGAGGGAGAGACAGAAACATCCATGTACCTGCAACCAAGGTACATACCTTTGACTGGAATCGAACCCGGGAATCTTCAGTCGGGTGGCTGATGCTCTATCCACTGAGCCAAACCAGCTAGGGCTAAAAAAGAAATTCTTGGAATAAGTGTATACTTATCTCTAATGAATCTGATTGCCTCTTGGAGTTTTGTGATGGGGTTGTACTTGTTCTTAAAACTAATGTAATTTTGCCCTACCTGGTTTGGCTCAGTGGATGGAGTGACAGCCTGCGGATTGAAGGGTCTCAGGTTCGATTCCAGGTGGTAGGCTCGATCTCCAGTAGGGGGCGTGCAGGAGGCAGCTGATCAATAATTCTCTCACATCATTGATATTTCTATTTCTCCTCCCTTCCTCTCTGAAATCAATAAAAATATATTTTTTAAAAATGCATGTTTTTTTTGCCCAGTGCTTCTACATTTCTGAATTTTGGTTAAGTAAATGCTCTTGTCTTCATATTACAGAGATATAAATATGTATAAATTGTTGGCTTTTTTCCTCCTCTAATGTGCCAAGGCACCATGCCAATTTCTGAATGTGGTCCTGAGAATGCAGAATGTGTTTTCATAGTTTGTGTGAATATGAAAAAGATAGCTGCAGTGGGCCCAAAAGTGGCCTTTTTTTTGAGCCATCCGCCTTATACTTGTCAAAAACATTTTGAATAGTTATTCTTTTGCATATTTCCCCAACATAGTTCTATTTTTGAAAGCACTTTTTAACTTTTATTATGGAAGATTTAAAATAAAAGGGGAACAGAATAATGTAAGGAGCACTTTGTACTCATACCCCGTGTCAGCTATTAGCAACATTGTGCTATTCTAGTTCCATCTACACCTTCATCACCACTCCCCACCACAACACCATATTTAAAGCCAGAGTTGGTTTTAGAATGATGTTTGTACTCCTTGCTGCATGCATGAAGGCTTTGAGAGTGTAGTAAAGGTATTACTGTGTTCTTATTCAAGAGGAAATGTGATATAGTATTCCTTGGACTAAAAGCCTACCTATTCAAGTAAAGATAAACCTGGAATGTAAGATGTGTACTTATTAAACTTTCCTAAAAATAGCACAATCAGGGTGACAGGGAAAGGTATAGGTCATTTTTGGAGAACATTGTTTGGTGTCGAGTTTAATATCTGTGACACTGAACTCTCCAACAGAGATTTGGAACATATCTTAACATTCATTTGAGACCATCTGACATTTCAAAAATTAAACTAATCACAGCTTTCTGTTTGTAAAAAAAAAAAAAACCTAAACAGTGAGATTAATCCCTGAAACCCTGTGTCGTTAAAATATCCTAAACTTTGGTTTACTGTATGGGCATTTCCCTCTACCCTTATTCTTTTTTAAAAAAAATATATTTTATTGATTTTTTTACAGAAAGGAAGGGAGAGGGATAGAAGTTAGAAACATTGATGAGAGAGAAACATCAATCAGCTGCCTCCTGCACACCCCCTACTGGGGATGTGCCCTCAACCAAGGTACATGCCCTTGACCAGAATCGAACCTGGGACCTTTCAGTCCGCAGGCCGACGCTCTATCCACTGAGCCAAACCGGTTAGGGCTGAATTTCTTCGTATATATTGTTTCTAAAATATATGTATGTTGATTCTTTTAAAAATATATATATTTTTATTGATTTCAGAGAAGGAGAGAGAGATAGAAACATCGATGAGAGAGAAATATCAATCAGCTGCCTCCTGCACACCCCCTACTGGGGATGTGCCCCAAGGTACATGCCCTTGACTGGAATCGAACCTGGGACCCTTCAGTCCGCAGGCTGACACTCCATCCACTGAGCCAAACCAGTTAGGGCAACCCTTATTCTTTTAAAAAAATGTTTCATGTAAACCTTAATGAGATTTTAATAGTAATAATAACAGTTTACAATTCTGAGCACTATTTCAAATGCTTTTGTACAGATTTTCATTTAATCCTTGTAATAAACCATTACAGATGAGGAAATTAGCTCACTGATTATATAGAAAGAAAGTGCTGGCATTTGAGATAAAGAGGGCAGGGAAGAGGCCTTTTAGGAGATGATATTTAAGTTGAGATAGCTATGTGATGAACCAGGGGCACTGCAAGTGCAAAGACATCAGTGAAAATAATTATGTTGCATATGAGAAACAGAAACGGTTTTGTATGGTGAGCCCAGGAAGATGGGTGTATATGAAGTGGTTGTCTTACTCCATAGAGTGTTGGCTCCTGAGAGCAAGTCTCTTGTCTGCAGTCAGTACTGTATTCACAGTGCTTGGTGTGCTACCTGGCATATGGTAGGTGTTCCATATTTGTTGGATGAATCTAGGTGGAAGGTTGGGGCAGTTTGGGACAGGTAGCCTAAACCACAACCCTTAAACCATGTATGCAAGTCACAGGCTTATGCCTCCATCTATCACTGGTCTGTTGTGACAAGCCTCAGTTTGATCCATCAATGCCAGGGTCCGGTTCTCCAGACGACCTGTAGCAGATCTGAAGCTGCCGCTAAGCCTTGTATTTCTCTTTATGGCCTGAAAGCCCTTGCCCTTGTTAAGGGTTGGGAGGTGTTAGGAAGCCTGTGGGATTCCCTCAGTGGACTCTTGAGGCTGGTCTTCAGGGAGCATTCGTCTTTCCTTGGATCCCCAAAATGGAAAAGAAACTTTGGAATGATTTAGTCTGGCTTCTGTGGCTAGTCATTAAGAAGGAACTTTAGTCCTTGACTCCTTGCTCTGAAGGCAACTTTTTAGAGTTGATCTCTGGCTGCCCTGCAGGTGCTGGATCTGCTGGCACCACAGACATCGGGGCACAGAGGAAGTGGCTGTTTCTACACTCAGTGCTCAGAACAGTGGGCACTAAGAATAGTTTATAGCCTGACAGTCCTAGTGCGCCCGGCCGGCATGCATTTGTGTTCCGTGTGTGCAGCAGTCTGACCTGTGTCCCGGCTTACAGTTGGGGACCTCGGGTGAGATCCTAAGCACTTTGCTTTTCCTTTTCCTCTGAATGATGAGGCTGTTCTGGGGGCTTAGTGTGGTGGGTGGGACTGACCGGCACAGGGTCTCCTGCCTGGAAATTTGTTCACAGGGCTGGGCTGGGGGCTTCTTAGCAACAGTCCTTGGGCAGGTGTGCAAATCCTCAGCTAAGAACCATATGCTGGTGTGAGCTCCCTGTGGCCCTGGGTGGGCAATCGGAGCCACCTCGCACATGAGCACCCACACTCTAAGGACTCTGAGACAAGCAGAGCACTTTCAGGAGCAGGAGGGGCTTGGTCAGTTTGGGCCGGGTGGGCTGCCAGAGGTTCGCTCCCTGCATTTCTCTGTCCAAGAGTTGGGAGTCGGGGCCCACGTGGATCCCCTCAGTGGGCTGATAACTGCAAATGATCGTCCCAGCCAGGGCACTGGGTAGACAAGGGGCTGTAGATAATCCCACTGGGATGGCAGGTGTAACCCACTGTCCTTGTCCCCTTGCAGAAAAAAATAAGAAAAATAATAAAGTTGACCTCTGGAGGAGCATGGGGGAAGGGAAATCTGCATCTGAACACTTGCAGCTCCACCCCCCTCCCAAGTCCCCTTTCTATTTTACTCTTAAGCCCAGAGATGAGTATAGTACAGCCTCAACTAGAAACCCTTTCTGTCCAGTCTTCAGACTCATTGAAATATAATCTGGGGCCTGTTGGATCATTTGGAGTGGTTTTTACTACCATTTGGCATCTGTGGTCCCAGGTAGGATACTTGTAGTAGAAATCAAACTCGCTTCAGGAGTAGGGGGACCAGACCTGAGGTTGAATCCTGCCTTCACTGCCTGCATGCTGTGTGACTTTGGCCAACCTCTCAGAGTTACACCCCCTCCTCCCCACAACCTTATAAATTAAGGCATCAACTACTTGTTTCAAAGATTAAATGAGCTAAAATATGTAAAGTAAATATTAGTTTTGCAGTAATCTTTCTATTCTGTCCTCTATTACTTTCTTCCTTGTGGCCATTAGTTCTCTTTTTACATAGTTATTCTCAGCAAGCTGTTATTCAAAATCCTGTTTATTAATAAATCTGTCACTACAGCAGTTCTGCCATTATATGGACTCTGGCTTAAAATAGTGAATTTGGTGTGACATATTTATTCATAATATTACTTATGTCCAGCCTCTATGTAGTAATGTTATCAAATATCCTTTTATTGAATGGTTGAAATGAATGACATAAAAGGATGGTATTTGTATTATTTGGAGATTTTTCAGTATGTATTTTTGCTTTTCCTAATCAGTGCCATTGAAGGAGAAGAGACTGATGGAAGTCAAATTAGGGGAGTTGCCAAGCTGGATAATGATGCGAGATTTCACCCCTAAAGGCATTGCTGGAGCATTTCAAAGAGGTCAGAGCCTTTTGGATATGTGTAAACAAAAACAAATCTCTGGTTCTTCAGATTTCTTTTTCCTGAATTAATTTGGGTGGTAAAGGCCTTGTCTCAGACCAGTAAGTTATGTAGATGATAGGGAGAGGTTGTTAGCTTTTGAATTTCATGTTTGGTCCTGTCAAAGACTGGCTCTGAGATATTTCAGCCAAGAAAACATTTTCTATTGCTTGAGATCAGTACCATTGCCTTCATCTTAGAGAAATGTCTATGAGCATTTTCACATTATTAGACTTAAGAAAAAAATGAGTGAAGCATAGTGGACCTCAGTCTAAAGTATAATGCTCATCTTCCTGCCAAGCAAAACTTCCATGATGAATATTTGAAATGGTCTGTTCTTCATGTCTGTGCATTTTAAAGTGCACAGCTAGTCAGATCAGTCCTGTGGAACCCATGTCATGTTCCAAGACTAAAGACCCACATTATGCATGGTCTCCAGCTTCTCAGGGGCTTCCCTCTGTATTTTTCTTTCTAATACTGACTTCCCTGTGGCTGTCTTTTATGTGCCATCTTTCCTCCTGCCCTGAGGCCTTTCCTCAATTTTGCCCTCAGATTAGAACTCTACCTTTTCCCTATAGTTACAGCGTCCCTCACTGTTATAAACTGTGGCCTTCTGTGATAATTTCAATCTTTTTCTATCTACTAGGCCATGAGCCCCAACAAGGCAGATATGGTTTGTCCCCTCACTGATGGGAGCACCTAATAAAGAGAAACGCACAAAGCCTTCTTCCCTTAGTGGCCCTTACTGGGGATTGGATTCTCAGTCAGAATTAGGGTAAGGGTTTCCCAAGGCTGGAGGTGAGGGTGAGGTAGGATCAAAGGCTGACAGGCTAAACCAAATCTACAAGATCAGGGCCAAAGGGTAGGGGCAGAATTAAGGTGGGCCTAGCTGGAGCTTCTCCGGGGCTTGTGGGGACCCAAGACTCCGTGGGGGCATTTATGTTTTTCCCTTTATGAACCCGAGAATCTACGTAGGGTCAGTGGCTTAAAGAGCTAGAGCAGGACTGGGTCCCCCGAATTAAGCCAGATTCGATTTTGCACTGCATGAAGCAGTCATAGCAAAGCAATGATCTTCTCTTCTGTTTGCAGGTTACCACAGGTATTACAACAAGTACATCAATGTGAAGAAAGGGGGCGTTGCTGGGGTTTCTATGGTGCTGGCAGCTTATGTGATTTTCAACTACTGCCGTTCTTATAAGGAACTAAGTAAGTGTCTTTGGTTACCTTGCCTTCAGTGGGGTTTCCCATGAGAGGGTAGCATTGGCTCACTGTCAGATTTAGTCCATTATTCTACTGACAGCTGAAGAATTGGAGGGACTTGTCAGAATATAGTTTTTAGGATTTTAAGTGAGAAAATTGTGACAAAGAGAAAATACACAGAAAAATAAGATGAAGCTGGAGTTAAGGTAATACTTAGGAAGCATTCTATACGATACTGCAGGCTCTGCCAAAGGTTGATGGAAAATTTGGCTTCATTTTCCTAGCAGCCCAAGCAGAGGGAAGTTGAGTGGTACAATCTGGGCAGTGCTCTGGAGAAGTGTAGCTGTTCCTGGTTCTGAGATCCAAGAGGAGCTTGTCCAATGGGAGATGCCAGAAAGTGTCATTGGTGACTGGGTTTCATGGCTGTTTGATAGTGTCCAGCCCCGTCTGTGGCATCTGGGGTGATGCTGGCTCCAAAGGACTGGACAGGTTCTTGGGGGCTATTATCTGAGTGGGTGTTCTTCTGGGAAGGAAGAGGCTGGCCAGGGAGCAGATGAACACCTGAGATGCCTTCATATCCTCAGGTCAGCAGTTCCACTGAGACCCTGACAGGCAGGTTCTAGGTTATTTTCTGAAAGGAATTCTCAGGATGGCTTTATGATTTTAGCTCGATGCTTCCCCTCTCGTCTTGTGCTTTCCCTGTACCTTTGAAGAAATTTACTTTTGACTTTCTAACTTCAGAGCATGAGCGACGACGCAAGTACCACTGAAGAGGGCCCAGTGTGGATTCCACATTCCTGACCATGACCTTTGCCCAGCACCTCTGAATCTTTCATATTGTAATGTAACACCTAATAAAAGGTGGCTGGTACTGGGCTGCTTCACTGGTTTGGCCATTTCCCTCACTTCAGGTCCCTTGCACAAGGTGGGACAAGATTGCCTTACCACTCCCGGAGGGGGACTGTCAGCGCAGGGCATCGGATCATGAAGCCTTGGTGGACACCCACATCCCTGGGATTTTGCCCCAGCTCACTAGGGGAGTCATTTAGCAGTACCCTTTCAAGTGTTTCCCTGCTCTTTGTCCTGTGTGTCCTGAGCACTTTTGGCCTTTTGTCACCTAACTGCTATAGTATAAAGCAGAAGTCCTGTATTCCTAAGAATGCCTTCCCCAACATTTCTTCATTACTCCTGGGTATGTGCCTGATGGAAGCTTAGTGGGATGATCTAAGGGAGGGAAAGCACGGGCTCTGAGAGCCCATATACAGCACTTTTCCTTACCTTTATCAAAGGCCTCAGTAAAATGATGTGAAGGCCAGATTGGTTTCTTGTTAAGGGGCCCATGGTGAGCCTATATACTGCATGGAGTATAAGGGGGTGAGATGCTATGGCTCATTTTCTCTTAGACCTGAATTTGAATAAATACCATCCAACATTTGAGATGAAGTAAGGAGACCTACCAGTAAAAACACCTTTCACCGGCAGCATCACTTCACTTCTGAAGTCATTTGTTGAAAGGAGATAAGCAGGCACCAATGTCAAAGCTTTGAGCCAGGCAGCTAGTGGATCAGCCAATAGCAAGATCCTCTCCGTGGCATGGAGTCTGAAGCAATGAGACACAACTTAAAAAACAAGCTTTAATCAACCTCATAAAAATTGTTCTTATAATTGAACTTGGATAGGTCCCCTTGCCCAGCAAGTTCCAGGTGATAGTTTCACATTTCCAGGCTTAAGGTGGTCTCCATAGGCCAAAAGGTGTCTGAGTGACAGTACAGATGCTTGAGGGGCAGGAGGTAGGTGCACAGATGGATCATATCACCCCTTTTTAAAGGGTGGCCTGTAGCTCAGCTTCAGGCATACCTTAAACACTGTTAAGCATGTGTCCCAAGAAAATAAGCCTAGAGGAAAAGGACCCTCATACTTGAGAGCCCGGCACCCCTCCTCAATGGCTGCCACCTTGGAACAGGACCAGGCTGAGGCAACAAGCCCACTTGAGTTTGCCCTGAAGGCCTGCCTCGTTCAAATCACATTGATAGGCACAGCTTCTGAATTCAGCAGGACATGGAGGAAGCAGGCATGACCTAGCCTCAGTTTAAGGACCCACCAGTCCCCGGGGGTCACCAAGAACTGGTGTTTAATGAGGCCCAAGGGGAAGGGCAGTCTTTCATACAGAACTGCTTGCATAAGCTCTTCCCTACAACTTCCTCCTCTCCAGAGAGCAGTGTTCAGGAAGTCCCAGACAGATGTTGATGCCTAGACACACATGATGCTGATTTGAGGGACAGAACTGGAGCACATGTTACCTTTTTAAAAGAGACTACAGCAAAATGGTAGGGAAACTGACAGATGTTGCCCCTCAGACTGATACAGGCCAGTGTGCTTGCCTACCAGCTCCAGCCAGAGTTGCCCTAACACTGGCATTGAACAGTTAAATGCACAATCCCAAGGATGGCCCAGAGTGGTCCCCGAAATGGGGCCCTTTGGGCTGTTCTGAGCTGTCTCCAGCTGCTGTCACTGTCCACTGAGAAAGGCCAAGTGCCCTTTGGTGCATCTGTTGGCGTAGTGTCCTTTTTCACCACACTGGGAAAGTAGGAAGGAAAGAAGAAGGCAAAAAAAAAAAAAAGAAGTAATTTTCAAATGCAGTTTTCAACTATGGTGGCACTCATCAAATACCAGGTTGGGAACAAGGACTCTGAAATTCTCAGTGGTACAGAGTCTCATTGAAATATAAGGGTAAAGCTATAGGAGATAAAGAAAGAGACTGCAGCCAAAAACTTGTCAAATGGGAGAGACACCTGCAGCCAAAGGATGATCTGAGCGCACAGTAGTGAGCTCCTTCCCAGCTGGGCACGTGGGACCTGCCCACAGAAGGGCTCTCAAGGTGGTAGGAGGAAGTCCACAGCACCAGAACTTCTCCACCTGTCCAGGAATGAAGCCTCTGCATGGCTGACCACCTACCTGTGAGGCACATTCTGGGACTGCCTGGTGATGGGAGGGAACAAGAAGAGGGGGAGAGAGAGAGACAGAGAGAGAGACAGAGAGAGACAGAGAAGCTACCAGGCTCCTCCCCCAATGCAGGGGGGGATTCATTGCTGTGGACACTGTGTGGGCTACACCCAGATTTCCCCTCCTGGTTCTTGCCTAAGCTATCCCTGGGGACAGGTTTTGGTCACAGGAGCAGAGATGGGACAAAATGGTTAGACTTGGGTGAACAGACCCGGTAAAATCACCTCAAAAATCTAGCATGGACCCTGATTTGTCCTGGTTCTGATTATCCAGTACCTGCCTTATTTTTACTTCATTCAACCTACCTTGTTGCTCCTCAAAAAGGAGAACTCTAAGAAAGGAAGCAAATGGCATCCTCAAGCACCAAACAAGGGGTCTGGAGGTGGTAGGGGCACCCACTCTGCACTAACCCATTCAGTGCCCTCGCAATCCCTGCTTCCTCGGCACTTCCTGGAGTATGGGGCTCTAATTGGTCACCACTGCCTAGAACTCTTGGCTGCTCTATTCCCAAGCCTGCTGTCCTCATGTTTTCAAGTCTTTACCTGTCCTTGTGACCTGTGTGGACAAGTGGCCTCGGTAGCTGCCAGTTAGTCCTTTGGTTGATGTGATGACCAGAGGGAGGGACTGTGTGGGCCCATTCATGGCACTTGGCATGTCCATCAGACTCCACAGCTGATCCTGGGGAGTCCAGGATTCCCACAAGGCAACTTAATATTAGCTGTAAAGTGCCCCTGGTAAGAAGAGGTTGGCAGGTCCTCACCCCAGCTTTCTGAGGTTCCAGCACTTAGGAGAGTTTGCTTCACAGAAGCCCTGCTAAAGAGTCCTACAGGGAGGCAAGAAGTACTTGGGAACTGACTGGTTGGAAGCTGCTTTGCACAGGACATATCGCTTTCTCATTCCCCTCTGTACTTTCACTTGCTATGGCTCAGGCTTAGAAATCTGAGGCCTTCCCTGAATCCATGTGCACTTTTAACTTTAGTGTCTTTGGGCACCAGCCTTCCTGAGAACAAAAACCCCTCCCAGGACGGAGTAGCAGCAGTCTGTTTCCTCAGCAGAGCTGGCACAGAGCAGGTGCTCAGTGAGTGTCTGATGGCCATGGGAAGTGTCCAGTGAGCTGACTTTTCTATGAACATTTTAAATATATGCCTTCTACTCAGCCCTTCTACTTGCAGGCATGGATGCTACTGACATCAGACAAGAGATCACAAATGTCTAAGTATTAGATTTAGCACTATTTTTAGCTGTAAAAATTATGACTTAACTGTCTACTAACAGAACTGGTACAATAAAATATGATTACAGTCTCTGAAAAAGATTAGATTTACATATACTGATAGTATACAGTATAGATCTACAGTACTGATAGATCTACAGTATATTGTAAAGAAAGAAAAGTATAGAACTCTATACATACTAGGACCCCATTTATATTAAAATACATACCATCCTTGTGTTTCTGTGAATAAAAGTTTAGAAGGGCAGTTATCCAAGTGGGGTCCCTGGTGGGATCCCCCTTAGGGATTCTGGAGTGTAAAGGGGTACCAAAACCAAAAGCATAAGAACAGAATACAATAAATAAAGTGGCTGTTTTAGAAAAGGTGGGAGTAAGGGACAACACTCACTTTGTATCTTAAACACTTCTATATCATAAATTTTTTATTTTTAAAAGTATGGACTAACTTTGTATTTCTTCTAACAATTCCCAATCTGAAGTCTTTGTAAGTCTAGTTCTATTATTCATTGTTTCTGATTCACTTGGTGGTGCTTGCTTCCTTCTATGTTTTGTGATTTTTAATTGTGAACTCATTCTTTGGAACTCTAGCTATGGGAATTCTGTGTGATCTGGGTTGAGAATAAATTCATCAAAGAGCCAGGTTCCAGGACCCATCTGGGCTGTTTTAGATGAGAAAACTAGCTTTTTAGCCTTCACCAAGGGCATAAATACAGGCCCAAACTCATGGAAAGACTTGCCAGTGACTACAAACTCAAGGAACTCCACTCACCCCTTTCCATCAAGAGCCAAGAATAACACACGTTTCCTAGTGGGGTTTTAAAAAGTTTACTCTTTCCCTGAGTGTCCTATCTTATGTATGTGTGTGTATGCATAGGGGGTGAGAAGGGCCTAAAGCTTTTCCCTTCAGTGTGCCCACGCAGGATCTGAGGACAACCAGAGGCTTCAGGGCTCACTTGTCCTGGATTCGTGCTTCCACTTTATTCCTAGCCTCCGACAGATTTCCCTTCCTTTTTTGAAAATACATTCCATTCATCATGGTGTGTTTAATTGTGTACCTGGCCTTGGTGTGTTGTAGAAGAAAGTAGCCCACCACAATGGCCCACTTTTACTGTTACAATCGGCAAAAACAAAGACTTCATTTTTCAATATTAACTCTTTGGAGAATGAGGGAACAGGCACTGACTGTGAAGACCCCTCCCCACCCCCCAACCCAAGACTCACCTTGTAACAGGTGACCTGCTCCAATGGGCGGGGTCCCCGGTTGCCTGCGCTGCTGTTTTGACTCTGCATGACCCCGATGACCTGCGGGGCTCTCTGCTGACTGGGAGAAGAGTTCTGGCTCGTTAACTGGAGCAAGGAGGACGACCTTTGTAATGGCGGATTGTTACTTTGCTGGAAAGAGTTACACAACACGGTTTTACTGCAGAAAACACGTGCACGCAAACTACCAATGGGGACAGAAAAAAAGAGGGCGGGACTGCTCCCGCATGATCAACAGGAAGAAGGGCTTCTGAGGTAGCTCCGGAGAGCAGGCAGAATAGAAACATCTGGTGATGGCAGGAGCGGCTGCCCGAAAAATACCATGCAGACACACATAAACGAAAAATAAAAGTAGAAAACAAAACACCAAAGAGACAAGGAGGTCTCTGGGGCAGTGGGGCGAGGGCATGAGCAGGCCTTACTTTTGTTTCTGAGGTTCTAGCTTCAGGTCAGGATGAACGCTTGGTTCAGCCAGATGTTTAGCAGCCTACACGGCGAGCAACAGTCACAGAAAAACAGTTGGAGGCTGACATGCTGAACTACAGTCTAGGGCTGAGAGGGCCCTCCACTAGGGAGTCACATGAGCAAGGGGATGGGGGCTCCTGGGGTGGGACTGGATAGCAAGGCCACCTCCCAACCAAGTGGTTTCTGGCTCCAGCCTCCAAAAACACAGGAATCCCAAGCTAGAAACCCCCAGGTTGTCACGGCTGTACGAGCACCCAAGAATTCCCAACTTTGCTAACAAGGAATTCTATCTGATCGCCCATAACCTCCTGAGGATGGGCGTGGTCAGTGTGGCAAGTGCAGACATTTCTTCTGGCTACTCAGCATCTAGCAGTGAGGGAGGCCTGGTGGGGCTTTGACAACAAGTTCAAAGTCCAGCCAGGTAAGAGGTTAGGCTCAAGGTCCATGGGTGGGTTTATTCAGCATGTTGAGACCCTGCCTAGCGCAGTGGCCAGCCCTTCCTCTGGGTTTCCAATCCTCCACTCCAACCCAGGATGCCCTTGCTGGGGAGGGGGGGGGGGGTGCAGCTGCTGCTGATTCCCATTTGTCCATGGCTTTTCCTCTTTCCTCCTGCTTGAGGGGAATCGGGCAACTGCTGGGTTGTAGGACCCCTTGTCTAGAAAACGGAGCCAGCTGGTCCTTCAGCTCTCTGTTCCCAGCATTCCCCGAAGTTGGGAACATCCAGAGTGATCACAGCACTGGCCAGAGAACTAGCCAGCCTTGGTTTTGTTCCCAGATCTGCTCCTGCCCAGCTGTGGCACCTCAGGCAAGCCCCTCCCTCTAGGAGTGTCAGTTTCTCCATTTGTAAAGGAAAGGGTCTGAACCAGAAGCAAGAACGGCAGAGACGTGGAGCTCCTGCTGCCTTCCACTCTGGCTCCAAGGTGGGCTCAAGGCACTCGCCAAGCAAGGGAAGAGAAACCAAGTGGGCATTCAGCTCCAGCAGACAGCCCTCCATATCTAGAGGCAGATAACGAACTGCTCAGCTCCCTGAATTTTCTGCTGGAACTCAGGATGACTGTCTTGCCTCCTCCTGAGCCCTCTCACAGGTCTCCAGCTGGGGCTATGACAGACCAGGCATTGATGCAGGCACTGAGTTCTCTATTGCAAGGGCATTGCCAGGGCCAGCAATGCCATAGGGCCGAGGAAGGGCCAGAACACGATACCTTTGACGGAGGCTGCGTCTGCTGGGGCAGTGGAGGCTGCTCGGTGGTTCCCATTGGCAGTTCAAATCGAGGGCTGGTGACCCAACAACCAGAGGGGATGAGAACAAGAGAAGAAGAGATGAAAGAGGAGCTAAGCTAGGCGATGTTCTCAAATTCTGGCCCAGGGAATATCATGGCCAGTCTCTACCCAAGTACAAAAACGAACCAACTGGACGTAGGGTGACTGTTGGCTCTCAGCTCTGCCCCTGAAGCCATAGGATAGTGGGAAGAACAGCACTGACATGCCTGGGCTCAGACCCAGCTCTGTTTATAACTGGCTGAGACCTGGGGAAAGTGCTGCTCAGAGGAATGAAGGAAACAGCTGTTGGTAACATCAGAAGGCATGAGCCTGCTCCCCGAGGGGCTTTGAGCATGGGAGCCCCTTCCAATATACACCCTTCCCTGCAGGATCCAATATACACCCTTCCCTGCAGGATCCAACTCAAGTGCCAGACCTTCTCTAACAACAGACTCCCAGGAAGACATGTCTGTCTGTCCCACAAGCAGGAACCCCTGGGCCACCTCTGGGCTCCTGGGCTTTCGTCTAGGGAGTGGGACCAAGTCACTTACTCACTGTGTGGCAGCAATCAGGACACTGTGCTCCCGTACAGGTGTCGGCAGGATGGATGGAGGCAGCACCCTGTGCCACCCTATCCCCTCAACCACCCAAAGTGACAGGTGCACTGAGGCCTAGGAGAGGAGTGCTGAGCCCTGCTGGGTAAGAACCTGGCTTTGGAGGCCTGCAGACCTGCCTCTGAGCAGGCACCACCCCCTACCACCATGTGACCCTGGCCAGTGGCTGAGCTGCCTGTGTCCTCATGTGTGAAAAAGGACATTCTCTTTCATACTTGTGAGAGTTACATGAACTAGTGTATGTGAAACCCAAGCTCAGTAATTCATATAGGAGGCCCTGACATTATAGTACCCTTCCTCTACAGCATAAGTTCTTAACCTGAGGGCCCTAAAAATATGCAAGGCTATGTGTGCATGAGTTTCTCTGGAACACAGGGCCCATAGTTTTCATCAGATTCCCTGATGGCTGTGCCCAAAAAAGGTTAAATGCTGGTGTAGTCAGCCACCTCTGAGCTCAGGAAGCAGCTGGGATCCCTTCCCAACCTCCTATCGCTACCCCAGGCACTGTGCTACCACCACCCAGTGACCAAAGCTCAACTGAACCCAGGAAAGATGTATAGGGCAGCAGGGCCTGGGGCAAGAGCAGTGTGGGAGTTGGGGGGATAGGAGCTGGCTACTCACTGCATGAATTTACACGAGGGCCCCTCCGGGCAGAATCCCACCAGGTAATTCACACAGGTGACTCTCCGCGTGTGCCGGTGCCTACACAGGGGACCTGTGGAGCCAGCATCAAGCACTCAGACCACCCCCTCTTTAGGGGATGCTCTCGTGCCCATTGCCAGTCAGAGCCCTGTCCAGACCATTGTCAGATACTACTGGCTTTGCCTCTTATTCATAGGGACAGTGGGCAGGACACACAACCTCTCAAATACTAGTTTCCTTATCGAAAATGCAGAAGAGAATGTAGCCCACAGGAGTTTTGGGAAGCTCAAGTGAGTTGAGTGTAAAAAAGCCTCACTAGCCCCCAAATGTCTAACACCATGTTTGCTGGTGTAGGCAGGACAGGTAAGAGGGTCATGTGGGCAGAGGGAGGGCTGGCCTCTTGCCAGGGGGCCCAGCCACTCTGACACCTACCGTGCTTGCAGAAGCCACGATCGTACCAAGGGCAGTCCTTGATCTTGGACTCGGGGTCGATGTGCAGGAAGGGGCACTCCTTGTTGCTGCACTCCCCTGCAGGGAAACCCACACATGTGTCCACTCAGGACAGCCCTGGGAGAGCTGGACCCAGACCCACCTCAGTTTCTCCCAAGGCAAAGAGTGCCAGGTGGTTCTGGTGTCTAGTCCTGGCCTGGCGAACCCTGAGACTTGATAGAGTGCCTCAGGGCCTTGGTTTTCTGACCTGTATGTGTGCTGTGAAGGTCCTCCCCTCACATGTGTCCATGCTGTCACCAGGGTCAATGATACTGACAGAGCTGGGCACAAGGTATACACACACTCATTAAATAACTCATGGCTCCGTCCCTTACCAAAGATGGTGTCCTGGGACTGTGGTGTGCCCAGGTATGCAAACGTACCAGTTGAGGCCAGGAAATTACTGTTCTACTTGGATCAGCTTTTTACATGTACTAGCTGGGACAGGGGAAAGGTCTGAGGAGTCTACCTTTTAGGACAAAAGTAGGGAAGATTTTGGAACTCAGGTTGGGTCCCTGTGGTAGAAGGCAATGAAGCCTTTGTGAGAGGAGCTATCTTAGGAGCAACCAGCCCAGTTGCCACTAGCATCTTTCACCAGCTACAGTTCAGCTACCTCCATGCTTGCCCTTCCTTTCCAACCTGTTACACATAAAATGCTAATCTGAGAAAATGCAAACTCCTTCCCAGACCCACCAAGTTCCTACATGGTCTAGCTCATCTCTCCCCAGTTTCCTCCTCCCCTCCAGCCACAATGGCCCCCCAGCTGTTCCAAGACACTCATCTGCCAGGATTGGCTCCTGCTTAGCCTTCAGATCCCAGCTCAGGTCTCACCTCGTAAGAGAGGCCTTCCTGACCATTCTACCTAAAGGAGATTCTTCATGTGGTTCCATCACTGTTTATCTCCTTCAGAGCACTTATCGTGTCTCTTGTCTCACTGACATATCAGCTGCCTCTTGCCCTGGGTCACTAGATCAAAAGTACCATGGGGCAGGAAATGGGCCTGTCTTCTTCATCACTGTCTCTTCAGGGCCTAGCAGGGGGACCCTCACCTGTGTTACAGGTGACAGGAGCTGCAGACAGTATGTTTACATCAGGTCAGGAGGGAGGTGGGGGGCTGCTGTGCCCATGGTCATCAGCAGAGAAGTAGGGGACCCAGGTGAGCTTGCAGAGGCACCCTTGAGAGTCTGCCCTAAGGGCTGGCTCCTGCCTTTGGGGTCAGATGAAAGAAGGTTCCCATTGAGAAGCCACTGCTTTCTTTCAGTGATGGCTCCAGGGGAGGGCAGGAAGCTTGGAAGTCTGAGTCCTATTTCTGTCTGTGCTATGACTTTGTAGTTTGTGTTGCCTCTCCAAAAAAAAAAAAAGCGCCATAACTCTAATTAATAAGCCAGCAGGCCAAGCCTGTTGGGCTGCTGTAATAATTAGCGTCTCCTCTGACAACAGTGCTTTGAAAGCGTGCAGCAGGTCCAGCACTCCTCGGCCCACCACAGAGAGTATAGCAGGCTTCCAGTCTCCTTCCGCACAGGGTGTGGGGTTGGCGGTCCTGAGGCCACAGCTAGCCCTTGTCCTAACCTTGTCATTTTTCCTGGTCAACCTCACTCAGAGCAGAGAGCCAGATTCTAGTTCCATCAGAGAGCACAACAGCTTGGCGAGCCCTGTGCCAGCCCCACTGCCCTCAGCCTGTCTCTGCTTCTCCATGCCGTTCACTCAGGACAACTTAGGCCACATGTTCTCTAAGCAGGAATCAAGCCAATCTCAGTTTCAAGGTGAAGAGTAGGGCTCTCTGCCACCAGAATACAGCTCCCCAAACTTGCTATTCTTAAGGGGTATTTAGGATAGACAAGCTACTACCTGGGATCACATGTTCAGAGAGAAGGAAACCAACTCAGGGGGGCAATCAGTTGCCACACAAGAAGTTGGTTTAAGGGAGAAGGTAGACTTGAGCAGAAACAAGGCCTCTAGCCAGCTGCCCTCTCACCCACCCACTGGGAGGCTCTCATTAGTCTCAAGTTCCCAAATAACCTGAAAGTGCTCAAAAAACGGAAGCACTAGCCTGGCCAGTGTGGTCACTGGTTAGAGCACCAACCCACGCACCGAAGGGTCTCAGGTTTGATTTCTGGTCAAAGTCATGTACCTGGGTTGCAGGTTTGATCCTCAGCCCTGGAGGCAACCAACTGATGTGTCTCTCTCACATCAATATTTCTCTCTCATTCCCTCCCTCCCACTCTCTTAAAAAAAAAAAAGTCAATGGAAAAAATATCCTCTGGTGAGGATTAACAAAAAATAAACCAACAAGAAAACACACAGAAGCACTACACAGACGTAGGGATTATTAGAGAATAACTTCCCATGACTAATAGGCCAGCTGAGGGTTGGAGAGCAATGCCTAAGGTTCTCATCTGAAGCTGGACAGATTGGAGACGGTAGGTACCCAGAGTGCCTGAGCAGTTGCTTAACTCCTCTGGGTCTTGGTTCTTGGTGGAGCCTCCCTAGAGTTACTGATGCTGGGGGGCGGGGGGGGGGGGGGGGGCGGGCGGCGGGTTCTGGATGGAGGAAGGGGCCTGGCCACACCTTACCGAACTGCCTTACCAAACTTTGAGTAGAAGTAGCACTCAGGCATCTTGGTCATGTCCTACTCATGGAGGAACTCGCACTGGTCCCCCTTCTTGCACAGCCCCCGCAGCCAGTGTTTGCACACCACTGTCTTCTCACCACTAATGTGGCGAAACGGGCACATGCCCCCTGCGGAGGAAGATAGAAAGGTGTAGCCCTGAGCCCAGGGCACTAGGCCTGGGGGAGCCAAGGCACCTTCGCCCCACACTTTCCTGAGGCACCGAAAACCAGAATTTCCCAGAAGGTGGTGGCTGCCCCTAGCAGAAGGCAATGTGATTTTAGGCAGTACATGGGCACACATTTTAAGTTTAAATAGTTATGTCTTTTATTTTAATGTGTTTTAATAAAATCTAACTAAAACATCATGATTTCACAGATTGTATTTAAGATGGAGGCTTGACAAGATCAACAGTGGTGTGGGGGAGGGGTGGGTTTATTTCTTTATTTAATTAAAGAATAGTTCCAGTGATATACGGACATGGCAAAAATTATAGGGCTAGTTAAACAAACACTGGGGTTTGGGAAACCCCAGTTTTATTTAAGCTATCTTCTAGCCTAAAAGATAGAAGGTAAAGAGGACCACCAGTAGAAGCCTGGACTCCAGGTGGGCTCCATCTTTAGTTAAAAGTACCTACTTAGCCTCCAATAACTAAGAAAGACAGTTACAGAACTGAAGAAATGCATTGCATACAAACTGGGGGAGGTCTGCCTTCTGCAGTAGGACCTGAGTGATCATCCTTACTGACAGGACAGAGCCATACCCTGAGAAGGTCCTATTTCTAAGTAGTGGCCTGTCAAGACTACTGGGAAGGCCCAACCAGAATGAGGTTGTGACTGGGAAATTTCTGGACCAGCCCTGTCCAACAGAACTTTCTGCAATGATGGAAGTTCTATATTTATGCTGTCCAATATGGCATCAGTAGCCACATGTGGCTATTAAACACTTTGAATTATGACTAGTATGATTGAGGAACTGCATTCTTAATTTAATTTTAATTGATTTAAATTTGAATAGCCACATGTGGCTAGTGCAGCCGTGGGCAAACTACGGCCCGCGGGCTGGATCCAGCCCGTTTGAAATGAATAAAACTAAAAAAAAAAAAAAAAAAAAAGACCGTACCCTTTTATGTAATGATGTTTACTTTGAATTTATATTAGTTCACACAAACACTCCATCCATGCTTTTGTTCCGGCCCTCCGGTCCAGTTTAAGAACCCATTGTGGCCCTCGAGTCAAAAAGTTTGCCCACCCCTGGGCAAGTGGCTACTGTATTAGTTAAAGAAACAGTCATAATGCCCATGTTAAGGACAGTTGCTAACAGATGGTGGCAGGTCAGAAAGGCAGAATTACTGAGCAAGGACATGGGAATGAGCCCAGGGATGATGATTCCAACTGGAAAGCTGGAGGTCAAACTGGTTGACCTACCGGTATGTCTGTCGTCTCAGTGATAAATGACTGAGTTATAGAACCAAAACTTGCCAAAATCAGTCATTAAAACCAATCTTGCTCTAATTCTGTGTTCTCTTTCAAGCTGTGATCAAATTTAGTAACCAAATAAATTTGCCTAGAAAAAGAAAAATGGCCAGACCTATGTATAGTATATAAGGTCCAGCCAATACTTCTCCTTATGAATAATCTGGCTCACGCAGCCTCTGTGGGGGCCTGGTTAGTATGAACAAGACTCCATGAGACAGATTATTGTTGGGTGTGGGGTTTTTTGGATGAGAGGATATGGAGAACAGTGAGCCTGTACAGACTGTAGAATCACAAAGGCCTGGGCTCAGCCATTCAGTAACTCTGTGAGTTTGGGAAACACAGTCCTAAAAGATAGAGGTAAAGAGGACTACTAGCAGAAGTTTGACTCCACGCGGGCTGCATCTTTAGCCTCCAATACTTAAGAAAGATCAACTACAGAACTGAAGAAATGCATTGCATACAAAGTTGAGGAAGTTTCTGAACATCTCAGTGCTAGGAGCTTCTGTTCACGTCATGGGTCAGCTTGTGGCCACAGGGAAAGTGAGGTGAGAAAGCTGATTCAGTGCCAGGTTCAGTGCCGTGTTTTAGGTTTCAGGCAGAACACCCATCATGTTCCTACTCTATCCAAACCCCAGTTTCATCTAAGGACACTGTTATTCTTGAGAAAGCAATTTAAGCTAGAGACCTGATGGCCGACAAGTCTGCTAGGGGAGAGAGAGGTAGAAGGCACCTCAGGAGGAACATCAAGGAACCAGGGGTCTCTTACCTTTGCCACAGGCAGCTTTCAAAAAGAATTCACAGACAGCCGCCCCTGACTCTGTAGAAAGGAGAGAAAGGGGGAAGGGTCAACAAAGCAAGGTGCAGTTGCTACTGATGACATCCGAAGACAGGGAGAGGAAAACCTTCTGGCCTTTGACCTATGAAATGTTCATGATACAGGAAATAGGCTGGCAAAAAAAAAAAAAAAAAAAAAAGCCCAACCAAGCAAGAAAAATGTTGCTTCTGCAAAATGAGACACATATGTTAAGACCAGTCATTATACAGGCTTTCTGAGAGTCTCCTATAATAAAAATGCTTTCGAGGATTTGGGAGTGAGTGGGTGAAGGATGGAGCACAAGATCAGGGAAATTACCCGGTGCTTGGACCTTCCAGAGGGCTAATTCCCCAGCACTTTAATGTGAGGCAGAGGGAGGGAATGATCTCACAGGAAACACACATGAATGGGGACTCTAAGGAGGGACAAGAGAGAGAGAAAGAGAAAGAGAAAGAGAGAGCGAGAGCGAGAGCGAGAGCGAGAGCGAGAGAGAGAGAATGACACCATTAGGGAGGGAAGAACATTTAACTGAAGACAAAAAAGCAGGACTACTCTTAATTTGCAATACCAACGCAATTATTAAAGGAGCAGTGCTTTGCTTCTACAGATGCAGCTGGTTCAGGCGAGGGGAGCAAGTGAACACAGGTGGGGCGCATGTGGTGGAAGTCAGTGGGTTCAGGGTTAGCTGTTCCAATGAGCCCAGTAATTCACCGGCCATGGCTACCAGAATAAACCTTCCGGTTTCACAAAGTTTTGTCTATCAGTAGGCATTTCAGAATTGCTGAAAACCCACAGAGAGCATCTCCGAAGGCCACTTTCGTGCCTCTACTTATTAACTTGCAAGGGATTCCTTGGTTTCTGGGCTGCAGGCCGATTTTGCTAGGACGGACTCAAGGCGGTGGAACTGGGGATCCTGGAGGTGTCACTTGTTTGCATTTCAAAACTGAAAAGGGAGCTCGGGCACCTGCCAGGTGTGATCAGAGACCCAGAGTTGGAGTCCAGAAAAGAACGGAGGGATAGGCTCCCAGGAGTGAGTCCTAGGAGAAGGACGGAGCTTGAGAGTCTGACGGGTCTTCCAGGCTCCGCCAACGGCCCCGTTTTGAAAGCAAAAGGGAGAGCACAGTCAGGGCACTGGAGGTGGGGAGGAGACTGCACAGTGCTTTCCAGGAGTTGGGGAGTTTGTGGGGCTGAGGGGTGGAGGAAGGATTTCCAATCGAGGATACCCGCCTTGCCCTGGCTGGTTTGCTCAGTGGATAGAGCCTCGGCCTGCGGACTGAAGGGTCCCGGGTTGGATTCTGGTCAAGGGCACACGCCCCGGGTGTGGGCTCAACCCCCGGTAGGAAGCTTGCAGAAGGCAGCCAATCAATGATTCTCTCTCATCGTTGATGTTTCTCTCTCTCTCTCTCCCTTTCCCTTCCTCTCTGAAACCAATAATATATATATTTTAAAGAGGATACCCGCCTTCATTCAACAATTATTTGAACAGCCGGACATGGTCTAGCCCTCCTGAAGATTATCTTAAACTACCCCCGGGGGATCAAAGGTCTGAGGAAGGTGGGCTCCCGCGGGCGGGTCCCAGGACCGAGGGGAAGGGGTCCCAGTTACGAGTCGGTTGCGCCCCTGGCCCGCCGGCCCCACGCTCACTGTCCATGCCGGGGAAGGGCAGCGGCTGCGCCCCGAGCTGCTGCTCCACCGCGATCTCCAAGTCGAACTTGACCTACATGGTCCACGCTGGCGATGATTTCCTGCATGGCGGCGGCGGCGGCCCCACCGGCCCGGCTCCCTCTAGTTCCTCGCCGCACTCACACTTCTACCCGCCACCGGCCGGCGCACACGGTCCTCCTCCGCCTCGCCTCGCCTCGCCTAACCTGGCCGCCGCCGCCGCCGCCGCCGCCGCCACCGCCGGCGCCCGAGGTATGCCGGGAGCGCTCGAAGCCCGCGCCGGCCCGCGCCTGCTCAGACCCGAGCAATCGAGCGCGGAGTACGGCCCGCTCCGCTAGGCCCGACTAGCTGCCCGCCGAACGCCCGTCCAACTTGTAGCCACGCGCCGGGCGTTCGCGCCGCAGACTGCGCCTGCAGGAGGTCGGCCGGGGCGCGCTCCGGGGGCGTGGGAGGCGGGCGGTGCGTGTGGGGGGATGGTGCGAGGCGCTGAGAGGCGAGGCGGGGACGCGGATCCCCGCGGGGTCGATGCGGACGCCAGGCGCGCGTTCCTGGGGCCGGACTCGGAGCGAGCTCCTATTTGACCCTCGCTGGAGCCCGGGATCCGGACCGGAACAGGCCCGGTTGAGCCGGGGGGGGGGGCGTCCGGCGAGGAAGCCGGGGATCTAAAGGCCCGCGTGGAGGGGTCGGGGTGGCCTGCGGCCCCGGGGAGTGTCGGGTCCTCCGAGGGAGGACAGCGGCGGCGTATCTGTAACTCAGGTATTCGCCTGGCAGGGTCATGGACTTGGGCTGGAAGAAAATTACACCTTCATCGTCTCTGCGGGAAGCGGCGTTTTCTTCTCTGACGGACGTGCAGTGTCAGCAGTGACCAAAACCGAGTCGTGGTGTCAGGTGGGGACGAGTGGAAATGACAGAGTGTCTGCAGCTACCACCTGCAAGCTATTTCCATCATTGCTCTTTGACATGACAGGGTCTTGTTCTTTAGTATGTTGAAAAGAAGCATATATACTACTACAGATAAGTTTGTTTTTAAAACATTTCACACCTATTTCGATATATTTTTTGTAAACCCATATATTTCACTTAATGCAGGTAAACACTTTATTTAATGTGGTTGAAAATTTAAAATTACATATGTGTTCACATTTTTTAAAATATATTTTATTTATTTTTTACAGAGAGGAAGGGAGATAGAGAGTTAGAAACATCAATCAGCTGCCTCCTGCACACCCCCTACTGGGGATGTGCCCCCAACCAAGGTACATGCCCTTGACCAGAATCGAACCTGGGACCCTCCCAGGGGTCCTCAAACTTTTTAAACAGGGGCCAGTTCACTGTCCCTCAGACCATTGGAGGGCCGGACTATAGTTAAAAAAGAAAACTATGAACAAATTCCTATGCACACTGCACATAGGGCCGTAGTTTGAGGACCCCTGCTCCAGTCCATAGGCCAACGCTCTATCCACTGAGCCAAACCGGCTAGGGCTTCACATTTGTTTTTATTGAGTTTCAGGCCTCAGCAGACACGGAATGATAAAGGTCCTCTGCACTGGTGTCACTAGGGTGCTGGTCAAGAGAGGTTGTCCGATTTGACCCTCACAGGAGCCGGGGATCCCAGGGGGACAGGCCAGAGGGGCAGTGAGTGCGGCCGCCAGGGTTGAGCTGGGGGCTCAAAGCCAGCCCAGTTGGGAAGCTGACCAGGCCGGCCCACAGCTCTGCTGCAGGGCCCCCAGCAAGTCCCTCCCCGCCCTGGGCCTCAGTTATGAATCTGTTCAATCTGCCCTCACCTCTCACGTCTTTCCAATGGTCATCTGATATAACTAGACCTTAACATTTTTTCATGCTGGTTATTTGGATATTTTTTATGAAAGAGTTTCAAGTATGCAGAGCAGGACCTCTAGCCTAGCACTGTCCAATAACAATATAGTGTGAGCGCATATGTAATTTTAAATGTTCAAGTAGCCACATTAAAGAAAGCAAAAAGAAATTGTGAAATTACTATTAACATTTCGTTAGCCCAGTGCATCTAAAAGATTAACATTTCATCTTATAAAATAATTGTGTGTTTTACATTTTTTTGGTACAAAGTCTTTGAAATTTGGTGTGTACTTTATACCTCTAGCTCATCTTCATAGCCACGTTCTGTGTTCAGTAGCCACATGTGGCCAGTGGCTACCACATTGGACAGCACTTTTGTCCACAACTAGCCCATTTGTCCACAACTTTTTGTAGAAAAGAAGTGCTTGAATTATCTTTCCTGGGCATAGACCCAAAATACCAACATTTCCCCCCCTAATAATAAATGATAGCTGTAATTTTTGAACATTTATTAAATGCTAGACATTGTCCTGAAAACACCTCATTTAATCTTTATCACCTTGTGGTAAGGTGAGTGGGGTTATCCTCATCTTGCAGCTGAAGAAATTGAGGCACAGAAAGGTCAAGTAATGGTTACAGTCACACAACTCTGTTCAGGTCTCAAACTCGGCTCTCATTTCCGCACCTGTGCTCTTAGATCATCTCTCTGTATAAAAGGCTGATATGCTAAGTGTCCCACCGTCTGGGTAATGACATCATGTAGCAATGCCCGGCTTCCTCTCCCTAGCGACTAGCCTCCTTGCAGTTTGTTCAGCCCAGGAACACGACTTGCTTTATAGCCAGGTGCAAACATTTCACACTTTAACCAAATATCTGTGAAGTGTTTTCCTGGGCCTCATCTCATTTGATCCTCACAGAAGTCCTGGAGTAGGTAAATAGGAGACTCGGTGGAATCCTATTTTCTTTTGATTAGCCGGAAAACAGAGTTTTAGAAAGCTTAGAAACTTGACCTGATTGAAAAGAAGAAATGGTGGACCTTGAAAATGACTTCAGGTTTTCTCACTGCACAGAATATAGTCAAACACTGCTGCAGTTAAATATTTTACCCTTTGTTCTCCCTGCGTGATCTACAATAGTAATCTGCTTTGTGTTGATATTTACTGCTGTGTTGCTGACAATTACCTGAAAGAAGTTGGGGTGCTTCACTGGGCTGGAAAAAGTTTAGCTACATCAGAAAGCAGGTCTAATTAAGCAAGTTTATATACTAGAGGCCCGATGCATGAAATTCGTGCAATGGGGTTGGTCCCCCGCTGCTGCTGCGGATGCCTTGGCCCCCTACGCCGCGGCGGCCATCTCTGCCTCAGCCCCCGCCTCTGGGCTTCGTCCAGTAGGTCATCTGGTCTAATTAGCATATTACACTTTTATTATAGATATAAAGCTCTTGCTGGCACCAGTCACATGCGTGTGTTTCCATCTGTCTTTGTCAATCGTGACACTTCTATTATGGAGAAAGGGCAAATAGCGATATTATAATATTTCTTCAAACTAGTTTCCTTTCAATGTGCATGAATTTGTGCACCGGGCCACTAGTAGCTTGATAATATCACTAGCTTATAGCTATTGAGTGCCTATTGTGCCAAAACTGTGTTGCATGCTATGTATCTGAGACCTCATTCAAACAGTGCTGTGAGTGACGTTATCGTTAACCCCGGTTTACAGGTGAGGAGACTGATGCCAGAGCAGGACTCATGGACGGTTGTTTGGCAGAACCTACGCTTTCTAACCTCAGGGCTCATGCTTGTAACCACTTCTCTGTCTTCTTTCTGCCTTTTTGGGTTATGAACCTGAGTTGACTTCATTGTTTTTCTGACCTATGCCAGGCCCTGGAGGTAAAAGCCAGAGATGGACCTGGTGAGACTTGCCCGGCTCTTCTCCAGCCCCCGCCCCCTGGGACTGTCCATCCTACAACACCTTGACCCTCTCAGAGCCAGGTGGGCAGGAGGTAGGGAAGGGCCTGTGTGGCTGAGGTCCATGGGACTGACCGGGCCAATACCAGCAGCCTTCAGCAGCTCCCTCTCTCAGCTGCCCCTCAACCAGGGGAGCCAGAAGAACATTCGCAGCCTCAGCTCTGACCCACGCCAGCCCAGCCCCATGGCCACCCAGGAGGAAGAGGAGGAAGAGAGTTTTGGGACTCTCTCCGATAAATACTCCTCCCGGAGAATGTTCCGCAAATCGACGGCCCAGCTGTATAACCTACGGCTCAGGGAGCAAGATGAAGAAGATGATGAACGGGAGCTGGAGCCAAAATCATGGCAGGGCCGAAGAAACACCCCTTACTGGTACTTCTTTCAGTGCAAACGCCTGATCAAGGAAGGAAAGGTGAGGGAACCTTTGGGTTCTGCTGCTCCTGGCTCTTACATCCCTGGTAGCTCAGTTTTTTTGTGTGAGGGCCTGCCTTACCTTTTCAGTCCTAAAGGTTTGGGTGCTCAGGGCTATTTTCTCCTCAGTCTTCGCTCACCCTGGATGCTGTACCAGGTGACCCCTCCTCACTGCAGCCTGACCTTCTCGTGGGCTCCTGATCTGTGTATCCAGCTACCTCCTCAGCATCTCCCTTACACTTACCCACATTGGCCTGAAATTTTCATTCCCAACCTTGTTTTCCCTACACTTTCTTCATCTCACTAAATGGCAACCCCATTATTCCATCTGCCCAGGCAAAATGACTTCAGGTCATTTCTAACTTCCTTTTCTCTCACCAGCTCTAATTTCAAAATGTTGCCAATCCTAACACTTCTCACAACATCGCTGCTGAAGGCCCAGGCCTAGCCTTCTCTTTGCCCCCTTACACCTGTCACAGGTCTCCCCGCCACTCTTGCCGTCTCCTGCCTGGATGCCACTCTAACACAGAGCCATCCTGTTAAAGCAGAAAGCAGTTATTGTTACTCCTCCCTCCAAAACTCCTAATATATTCAGTGACATTGAAGATGTTCACTTTCTTAGGTCTCGGCAATGACATTCTGTTTGTGTGTGAAGTTCTCTTAGAGGTATGTATTGACGATTTTATGAATGGAATGATAGGATGTCCTGAATTTGCTTTTAAAAATTCTGTTTATAGGGGGAGTGCAGAGTATAGATGAAACAAGATTGGCCAAACGCTCATCATTGTAGTTAGCACTGTTCTCCATTTTGTGTATTTTTGGACGTTTTTGAAATGAAAAGTTGAGAAATACAGAGAAGCAGAGTCCTTACAATGGCTTATGAAGCCTGAAAGATCTGCCACCATCACCCCTTCATCCCTCCCCTTACCTTGCCGCCCTCATTCCTCGCTTACCTACTGCAGTCCTCCAGCTCCCAGGCAGACTCCTGCACTGGCTGTTCCCTGATAGCTATGTGGCTCCTTCCCTCACCTCCTTCACATCTTTACGTACCCGTCACCTTCTGAGGCTCTGCTTGGCTATCGTATCTAAAACTGAACCTCCCACACCCTCTGGCACTTACTGCTTCATTTTTGTTCATAGCACGTGTCACCACTTGACCTACTATATATTTCTCTTAGTTATCTCATTTGGTGTCTGTCTTTTCAGACTAGAGGATGAACACCAAGAGGGAGCCCCCTCTTGTTCTCAGCTTTATCCCCAGCAAATAGATCTTGCCTGGCATAGAGGACTCAGTAACTACTGGTTGAATTAATGGATGAAAAAATAAGGAGTAAAGGAGTGAACCCAGGATTTAAAGGGGAATGGCTTAGGGGTGGGGCTGGGTCAAAGACAGCTGTGGGCCAAGGGAGTTTGTAGTTGGAGGAAGCTGGTCACTCAAGGCTGTCGTTCTACACCGTCTCAGGAGGCTGTCGGGGTGGGGTGGAGAGTTTCCATAGGTGGTGGGCGTCCAGTGGGCTTTCCTTCCTGGCTACACAAAGCTGCCATGCTGCAGAGCACAGGGACCAAGAGGCTGGTGGCAGAGGCCCAGGGCGGTATTTAGCTTTTGGGCAGGCCTGGTCTTGGGCTCAGGGAGGGTCCCACAATCTCAAACTCCCTCCCTCTGCGGAGAGTCTCTGAGGCCACCCTGAACCCCCTTCATTGTTCCCTTCTTCCTCCCCCAGCTGGCTGAGGCCCTGGACCTGTTTGAGAGGCAGATGCTGAAGGAGGAGCGACTCCAGCCCCTTGAGTGCAACTACACGGTGCTGATTGGGGGCTGTGGGCGGGCTGGCTACCTGAAGAAGGCTTTCCAGCTCTACAACGATGTGAGTGGGGGCAAAGGGGTGGCAGGGGCAAGACTCTAAAGAGCATGGGTTTAGGGACCAAAAAGAGCTGGGTGCTGATCCTGAATGAGTCACCTGCTAGCACATGACTCTGGGCAGTTGATTTAACCTCCTCGGCCTCAGGTCCATCATCTGTAAATGGAGATGATCTTGGATAATTACATGAGATCACATGGGAAGTCCTCCAGCATCTGCCTGGCCATGGAGGCCCCACCGATCCTCTGCTTTTTCCATTTCCCAGTTTGTGTTCCTTTTCTCTCGTCCCTCTCTTCACATGCCCACCCCCACCACACACACACACACACACACACGCACACACACACACACACACATGCGCGCGCACACCTTTCTTTCAAAATTGGTCCCTTTTTTATTTTTTCAAAGTTGGTCCTTTGAACAAGGGCTTTTATTCTCTTAGAACATGGTTTTACTTTACATTCACCCTCCTCTGGGGTGTATCGTATTTGTTATTCTCAGAACCGAGAAACTATTTCCTTTGTGAGTCAGGAAAGAGCAGTGGACTCTAGCAGCAGTGATCCCATCTTCTCCTGCATCCAGAAGCTGGGACATCCCTTACTCCAGCAAGGATTCTTGGGAGCCTTAGTCTTGTCGTTTGGAACACTCCTACTCCAGGCCTGATCATCTCTAGTGGGAGCAAGGGGAAGGAATTATACTTACAAATGATAAAGTGAATATTCTTTAAAAGACCTGATTAAATGTCTTGGCATAGAAAAACAACAGGCTGGCTGCCCTGATCACCTAGCCAGCAGAAAAGCACTCAGGTACTAAGTGAAGGGGGTGGGGTGGGAGCACATTTATTGTGGCTCTTGGTTAAGAGTCCTTAGCAGCACTTACATTTGGAGGATCCTTAAGTGACTTCCCACACGTCACCTCCTCAGAGAAGCCCAAGCCATTCTATTTAATCTTAGCTATTTTTTATTACTTTGCTGCTGCCCACCCCCCATAATCATTTTATTTTAGAATAATTTTAGATTTATAGAAAAGTTGCAAAGATAATATAGAAAGTTCTCAAATACTCCGCCCCCCCCCCCCCCCCGCCATGTTAACATCTTACATTAGATGGTACATTTGTCAAAACTAAGAAACCACTGTTAGTTCATAGTTCATTGTTGTTAACTAAACTCCAGAACTGTATCTGGATATCACCAGTTTTCCACTGATAACCGTTCTGTTTCTGATCCAATCCAGTTTCCATACTGACTCCTCCAATCCGTGACATATCTGAGGTTCCTTGTTTCTCCTGGTCATGACAGTTTTGAGTAGTACTGGCCAGGGGGTTTGTAGAATGTCCCTCATTTGAGAATTTGTACATTCTCATGCTGAGACTAGGGTTATGGGTTTGGGGGAAGAATATCGCAGAGGTGACGTGCCCTTCTTATATAAGGTCTTCACAACATCACCATGACTTACCGCAGGAGACATTTGCCGTGGGCACTTGGTGACGTGGTATTTGCCAGGTTTCCCCACCGCGAAGTACTATTTTTCCCTTTCCAGCCTGTTCTGTGGGCGTCCTTCACAGCACTCACTACAGCTGTTGGCTGCTTACTTGTCTGGTGTGTGCCTCACCCTCTGGAGTGTAGGCTCAGTGAGACAGGCTGTATCTGTCCTGGTAACCACTGGTAGCCAGTGCCTGACTCGCAGTGAGTTCTTAGTACATATCTGTCGACAGTGTGAGTACATATCAATTGCTGTCATCCTCGAGTCGGGATCACCGTCTCCATTTTTCCGATGAGGAAGCCGAGGCCTGGAGAGATGGAGTACTTTGCCCAAGGTTACCCCTGGGGTAGGGCTCTTCACACCCCTCCGCAGCGGCGCCATGCCTGTCCTTGGCAGGTGGCCCTCATCTGGGAACAGTGAGCGCTCGACTTTACCAGTTCAGTCACTGGAGGGCTTCGTGAGCACAGTGGTGGCCCAGCCTGGGGTTTGTGACTCCGCAGGGAGTTTGTGTTGTAACGTGCTCCTGGCCGCTACTGGTCTGGGGGTCACTCTTCTACCCAACCCTTGCAACACCTTTCAAGGTGACAGTGTCATTCCTATGTTTTTCAGTGAGGCGCTAACGTGCCCACCACTGTTCAGTTAGTCAGCATTGCAGTGGGGCTTTGATTGCTACCTCCCACCCTTTCCCAGAGCAGATCCACCCCAGGCCCCTTAACGGTCAGGGTGACCTGGTTGGCCAGACGGTGAGAGCATCAGGAAGACCCTGCTTAAAGCACCTCAGGCCGAGGGTGAGCTGGTGAGCGCCCTGGGGAGGACCGTTTCTCGTTTGGCGTAACTGGGATGCGGGGTCGGTTTTCAGAGTCGCTGTGGCTGAGTTGGGTTTGGAAAGCCGAGCCCTGATGTGTCGCTCAGCTCTGCCTTCGTGCAGACCCTGCTCCCAGGCCTGTTTGATGCAGTGATGGAGTCCCCTCTGGTGTCCTTTGGGGGCCTGTCACTTGTGTGTCCAGCTGACCCTAGAGTTGCCTCTAAGTTTCTCCCCATCTCCACAGATGAAAAAGCGGGACCTGGAGCCCTCTGATGCCACCTATACAGCCCTGTTCAATGTCTGCGCCGAGTCCCCCTGGAAGGACTCCGCTCTGCAGAGTGCCCTAAAGCTACGGCAGCAGCTCCAGGCCAGAAACTTCCAGCTCAACTTGAAAACATATCACGCCTTGCTGAAGGTGGCAGCCAAGTGTGCAGACCTTAGGATGTGCCTCGATGTATTCAAGGTGGGGATGCCCTTCCTCCCTGCCTCCCACTTGGGACCTGTCCCATGTAGCGGGTGTGAGGCTGTGGCCATCTGTGTCCCTCACAGGAAGGTTCAGAGACCAATGAGACAGGCCCCGTGCTGGGCTCTGGGGTTCACAGATAAATCTGACGAGACCCTGACCTCAGAGGCCTTGGTCAGACAGGCCCTTAACCCCATGAAGACAGGGGGGTCTGTGCACAGCTGTGTCGGACTTGATGGTGCCACAGGGAGCGTGGCCTCATAGCACTAAAGATGAGCCTGCTCACCGGGGAGGGCCTCCTGCGTAGAAGGAGTAGTGGGAGCCCAAGCCCTAGTACCAGGGCGCCGTGAGGCTTCGAGGGAAATGGGTGAGTGGAGGCATGGGAGTGCTGAACATGGGCTTGTCTGCATTAGAGCTTTGACTTGTAGCTTCTTGTCTTCCTCAGCAGCCCCATAAGAAGGTTTTCAATTTCCACTTTACAGAGGAGACCAATACAGGGCTTGAGTATGGAATACCATGAGCGGGTGATAGGTGTGCTTGCTCAGCTTGCCAGGAAGTGGGACAGATGTGAGTTAACACTGAAACAGCCTTGTGGGAAGCAGAGAAGGCTCTAGGTCCCCACAATCAAACCTCAGGAGGACTAGGGCAGTGTCAGGTCTCAGCATGCCCTTGGCAGCCTTGTCCTCACACTCTTCCCTCAGGCGTTTTTCACTCTGTTCTTACCTTCTACCCAGAGTGACCTGACTGCTTTTCCTCACCACACATAGCAAGGTCCCACCTGCCCATTCCAGGTAAGGGGACCTGGTGGACTGTCCAGGCACCGTGTGGTACAGAGCAGCCTTTGGTCAGTCCCTGGGTCTGTTACCTGGAGTGAGCCTGCCCTGCTGGAGAGGCAGAATTATGGGGTTTGCAATTCAGTTTCCAGTACAGGGGCTAAAAGTGACCACTGGGGTGGTCTTTGCAGAGGGGTGCACAGAAGTGATAGGAGCAGCTGGGAAAGAGAGGAGGAGAAGTGCAGGCAGCAGTTGGACAGCTCAGGAGCTGGTTCTGAGCCTCTTCACAATGTGCAGACTTGGACCTGCCCCAGGAATGTCTGTCCTGAGCCAGACCCAGTGGGCGGGTCTGGGCTCTGCCACAGGTTCCCAACAGGAGCTCCTCATTCCCTCCCCTAGGAAATTGTTCACAAAGGACATGTGGTCACAGAGGAGACCTTCAGCTACTTGCTCGTGGGCTGCATCCAGGACAAGAAGACAGGCTTCCGACACGCCTTGCAGGTCTGTCCCTCCTGACTCTGCCTTCCTGCCTTTCCTGCCCCCACCACCCCCACTCTGTGCCCTTGTGTCCGGTGCAAACGATGATCCTTTGTGCATTTCTTGAGCTCCTGCTACTGCCCTGGGCTGGGTGTTTTTATATTTGCCATAGTTTGGTCTTCCCAGAGCACAGTGCTCACCTGCCCCACCCCATTTTACAGATGGCAGGGAGAGGAGCCCTAGGAGGCGGTGGTGGCATGGCTGCTGAGAGTGAGGGCACAGCCAGCTCCTGGTCTCCTACTCTGCTCGGCAGCCTTCTGTGCAGCCGGCCTGCATCTACCAAGCTATGGTCCGTGCAGCACATGTACCTGGGGTACTTGCTCAACCATATCTCACAGCCACCCCCTCAGCCTCTCTGCAGGGGAACCCCAGGAGTTGCATGAAGTTCTGGGAGAGTCTCACAGACATCAATGTTGAGACATGCTGCTCTAATCCCAGGAAGAACTCCTCTCATCAACTGGGTAGGCAGTATTAGCAGTGGTACCACAGCTGTGCTAGCTCCTCCAGGTAGAGAAGGACTGGCAGCTCACCTAGAGCCCTCCTACTTCAAGGGTAGCCCTCAGACCAGCAGCATTAACCTTACCTGGGACTTGCCAGGGTCACAGACCGCCCCCCCACCCCCCCCCGCAAACATAACACACACACTGCATCCAGATCAGCATTTCATCAGGATCTCCAGGCAGTTGGTCCACACAGAGTTCAAGCCCTAGTGATCTGAGACAGCCTTGGACCAAATGCTTGCCCGTTCCCCTCCGATGCAGACTCGCTGGAAGGAGTGGCCACCGGCCATCCTCTGGCCATCAGCAAGTTTTATAGTGAAAACCAACCAAGGCCTAGGTCTTCCCTCTCCTTGGCCTAGATCTGTTCTAGTTAGAAACAGTCTGTAGTACTAACAGCTATGCACAGTGTCTTGTATTTATTAAACTGCTTGAGCTAGGCACCAGTAGCCTCGTTCTATAGATAAGGAAACTGAGGCTTCTTGTGTAACTTGTCTTAGGTCCCACAGCCACTAAGCAGTGAGCTGGGATTGGAACTGAGGTTCATCTGACTCTAGAGTCAGAATTCTGCAACCATGGGATAGGGTCTGTGTCCCTGCTGAAACTCACTCTGTCAGCATTCCCTGAGGAGGTGCCTGCCAAGACCCTTGCCCTCCTCAAGACCCTGACTGGTGGATAGCAGCCTTCTTGCTAGATGTGCCCATCTGGGCCTGACCAGCCCCTGCCTCACCTGCACAGGGGTCCCTGATGAGGACAGAAGTCAGAGCTCTAGGTCCACTGAGTGTGGCTTTCACCGGAGCATAAAAAGAGGAGCAAGTGCCGAAACTTGTTTTGGCTCAGTGGATAGAGCGTCAGCCTGCGGACTGAAAGGTCCCAGGTTCGATTCCGGTCAAGGGCATGTACCTGGGTTGCGGGCACATCCCTAGTGGGAGATGTGCAGGAGGCAGCTGATCGATGTTTCTCTCTCATCGATGTTTCTAACTCTCTATCTCTCTCCCTTCCTCTCTGTAAAAAATCAATAAAATATATTTTTTTTAAAAAAAAGAGGAGCAAGTGATACCTTGAGCCCATGTGGTGCCCTCTTGGTGTCAGTCACCCAGACATCACAGCTTTTTGGAGAACACACAGCATACTAGACACTGTGCTGTGGGGATGAAAATGATCTCATTTCATGAGGAAATGGGGCTGCCTAGGCCCACAACCTGGCTAAGTCCCCCACCACCCACACCTGGCTTACGCTCTCAAGTGTGAGAAAGCTGCCTGGGGCAGGGCACACAGTAGGCACTCAGGGAGTGCAGCTGAATCCAATCCTTAAGTTGGCCTAGACCAGGGGTGGGCAAACTTTTTGACTCGAGGGCCACAATGGGTTCTTAAACTGGACCGGAGGGCCGGAACAAAAGCATGGATGGAGTGTTTGTGTGAACTAATATAAATTCAAAGTAAACATCATTACATACATAAAAGGGTACGGCCTTTTTTTTTTTGAGTTTTATTCATTTCAAACGGGCCGGATCTGGCCCGCGGGCCGTAGTTTGCCCACAGCTGGCCTAGACTCTTCCATAACCTAGCTTCTCTGGCCGTCCACCCCCAAGGGAGTACAGAAGTGGGCAGAGGCCTAGGGAGAAGTCTGTTCCCTGGTACAGGGGCCCTGAGAGAGGGCAGAAGGATGAAACAGAACAGTTTGGGGTGAGCTAAAGAGGAAGGGAGTGATAATCCCCTGAAGTTTCCCGTGGAATTCCCATGTTCTTGCCCAGAGCCTGGAGTGGAATCATGCTTAGTCCTTCCTGCACCCGTTGTGTTTGCCAGCTGGTTGCTGGCTCAGTCCCTTCTCCCTCCTGAGAGGGAGCATGGAGCTGAGGCTTGTTTCTCCCTGGCAGGTGTGGAGGCAAATGCTGCGTCTGGGGCTCCAGCCAAAGCGGCATGGCTACAACCTGCTGCTGGGGGCAGCTCGGGACTGCGGCCTGGGGGACCCAGAAGTAGCCTCAGAGCTGCTCCTGAGACCCAGGGAAGAGATGGTGCTGCTCCAGCCCCGGGCAGGTGGGCGGCAGGCAAGGAGGAAAGCCCAGGCTGGGACGGTTGACAGCATGTCAGCCAGGCTGCACGTGGAGACCCTGGAGAGACAGTTGTTTCTGGAACCTTCTCAGACACTTGAAAGGCCTTCAGAGCCTCAGGAGGACAGAGTCCTCAGCAAGGCCCAGCCTGAGATGGAAACCAAAGTGGATCCTGATCACACTGTGGCCCTTGCCTCTGTGGCCTCGGAGCCGTCTCCCCAGGAGCTGGAGACTAACCTCCTGACTCTGGGGCCAGTCCCCCCGGCTGTGGTCTCCTTTGGGACCGTGACCACGTCAGCAGACAGGCTGGCTTTGATGGGGGGCCTGGAGGGCTTCCTGGGCAAGATGGCAGAGCACGGACTCCGGCCTGACATCAAAACCCTCACGCTTCTGGCTGAGGTGGTAGATCCTGGGAGCCCTGCCGAGTTCTCACTGCTGACTGTCCTGGACACATACCAGGTGGAGGCCGATGTGACATTCTTCAACACTCTGATGAGGAAGAAGAGCAAGCTGGGTGATCTGGAGGGGGCAAAGGTGAGTGTGGAGGCAGGCGCAGGACTCTGCTCTGGAGCCCTCCTTCCCCCTCCCTCCTCTGACCTTCCGACTGTGAGACTGTCTTCCCTGCCAGGTGTGTCATCCAGTTCCAGAGCCCCTGTTCTGGGCCTGGGCTCGGGTGAAAAGCTGGGAATCGAGCGAGCTACCTTCCCAGGCCTCTTCAGGGAGTCACAGATTGGTGGCTGGTGGCTCCTGAGTATCCCTACCCTTCAGCCACCTCACCTCACTGACTTCACACTTACTCTGCGCCAGATGCTGTTCTAAGAGCTCCATTTGTTTACTGACACCCACTTCACTGATGAGGACACTGGGGCCCTCCATTCATATGACGTTTCTATGTGATGCCTTTTTTTTTTGCCAGAGTACTAACCTGGGCACTTGTGAACATCAAAGATGACAAAGACAGCCTCTGCCTTGAGGCTCACAGTGCAGAGTGCACCTTTCTCTAGATAAGCTAGATAGGATAGAGCCCCTCTGTGGAACCTTCTCCAGCTCAGCCAGCACTTACCACACTGTTGTCGGCGTGTCCCACCCTGGAACACCGGACCATGAGCCCCTAAGGCCTCTGGTACTCCATGGACATTGAAAGTCCAAGTGCAGGGATGGATGGCCAACAGAGAAGTAGAGAGGGACAGGAGTATGAAGGGCATTCAGGGAGAAGGGACAGCATATTGGAGACAGGCAATCTAGAATGCAAGGTGTACTTGTGGAACAGCTGAATTCTGGGGAGGTGGCTGGACCAGACCCTGGGTCCTTGAATAATAGGCTGAGGCCAGTGCCCACTGTGGCCAGCAGAGGGAGCCTGAGGCCTTGAAGCAAAGCTCTACCCCTTGGGTCTCCAGCATCTAGCCAAGGGCTTTGACAGACAAAGCTTTTGCCAGGGCTGGTGGGGTACAGCTTATGGTGATGCCATGTCTATTCCCATAGGCGCTGCTGCCAGTCCTGGCAAAGAGGGGAATTGTCCCCAACTTACAGACATTCTGCAATTTGGCCATTGGATGCCGTAGACCACAGGATGGTCTGCAGCTGCTGGCAGACATGAAGGTGAGTGAGCCCAGGCCTGGGCAGGACCCATGGTGCTGAGGAGCACTCTGGGGGTGCTCAGGAAGAAATCTGGGTGGCAGGAAGTGGGCGTCCTCCCAAACCTCCCAGGCCTCTGCAAGGTGTACTTATAGAAAGCAGAATTATGGGGAGCTGGTTGGGTAGAATAAATTGTGGGGGTGGGGGAGGGAGAGTGGGGTCATTCTAGCTTCAAGGGTAGAATGATCATTGGCCCAATTTGGGAGAAAGTAGACCCTGGTGAGCTGCTGCAGGAATGGGCATTGAGAGCAGGGATGTTACAATCTTGAAAGCAGTGGCAGTGGGGTGAGATTGAGGGGTGGGGACAGATCTTGGCCCCAACACTTTGGAGAATAGAGAGCAGGGATGTAGCAGAATTCTTGGGTTGGGGCTCAGGGGGTACAGTAAACAGCCAAGAACTGAGGAGGTGGTCTCCTGCCTGAGTCCGTTGATCTCTGAGAGCAGTACTCTCTCTCCACATTCTTCAGGACTGAGGGTAAGGTACTGAGCCGTGTGGGATGGAGCCTCAGAGTGGGGCATCTGTGCTTTCCTTTTGGAGGGCCTGCCCTTCTTGTCCCAGGTCACTAGTCTGCAGAGCAGACTTGACTGGCAGGGTAGTTCACCAAGCTGGACATGCTGCAGCAGCCTTTCCTCCAACAATCACCGTCATCTCACTGATTGTATGTCTGTGATATTCCAGAAATCCCAGATGACCCCCAACACCCACATCTACAGCACCCTCATCAATGCGGCCCTCAAGAAGCTGGACTACACCTATCTCATCAACATCCTGAAGGACATGAGGCAGAACAGAGTTCCAGTGAATGAAGTCATCATCCGCCAACTGGAGTTTGCAGCCCAGTACCCACCCACCTTTGACCGGGTATGTGCCCCAAGCTCTAATGTGCCCGTTGTCACCTTAGCCAGTGTCACTCCCACCCCTGGTTCTGGCCTTCTGGGATTGGTATTCCCTTGCTTTAAGTTGTCAGTGGCTACCCTTAGGAAAAATCCCAAACTCAGACCACAGCTTGCAAGTCCCTCCTCCACATGGCTTTCATCTCAGGCCACTCTTCCCTTTGTTCACTCTGTCAGTCCGATTGTACTTCTGTCTTTTCTAGATAACACCAGCCTTTTTCCTGCCTCAGGCTTTTTGCATTCTCTCTGCCTTAAATAGACTCCCTCTGCTTTTTCCCATAACTGGCTCCATCTCATTTTGTAGAAAGATCTCAGCTCTTAGAGGATACTCAGCTGACTGCCTCCCTTCCCATTACATAAAGCATTATTTCTTTTCACCATGTTTCACAGCTTATAATTATGTGTGACTCTCCCCTTCATGAAATTCTAAGACCCTAGAGGTGGAGACTGTCTCTGCCTTGCTCACCTGGATCCCTGGTACCTGCCCTCTGCCTGTACCCAATACGGACTGTTGTCAAGTGAAAGGGGGCGGCAGTAGGGCAGTGATAGAATCTGTTCTGTAACGGCCATTTCTGTCTGCTGTTCTGAGGATATCAGAATCTGAGGGTTCAGATTTTAGGCCTACTGAGTCAGACCGTGTGCCACGGATTTAACCTGAGAAGCACCATCCCAATGGGTAGGGAGAAAAGTTGGCAAGGACACACCAAGCTCCACCATGGAGGCATGGGGTCAGGGACAGCTGTGCAGGTGTGATGCTTGAATGCCACTGAAGGCACAGGAAGAATTAGTGATAGCAGGGAACAGTATGTCAGGCAGAGGACATAGCTGTGTGCCTTTGAGCAGTTGGTTTAGTCTTATCGATTTCTGAGTTCTTTATATATTCTGGATACTAGTCTTGTTGGTTGCATGTTGCAGATATCTAGTTAGTAGGTTGTCTCTTCACCCTGTGGTATAGGGCCCACTAAGGTTCTTCTCAGGTTGTCAGCAGTCCCCAGACTACCTAAGTACTTAAAGCTTATTGTATTGAAATCATATATTCATATTCCCTTATGAGAGTGGACTTATTTCTGTTTGTGATTGTGAAGGTTTTGCTTTATGTACTTTGAGGCTACATTAGATACATACAAGTTTATAATTGTTAAATCTTTTGAATCAACCCTTTTATCATCATGTGGTAAGTTTATCTCTGGTACTTTTGTTGTCTATTCCTCCACCAGCTTTCTTTTGGTATCTGCCGGGTGCATCTCGTTTCCTCCTTTTCTTCCCACCTCTCTGTAGAGGCCACGGCAGCAGTGCTGAGATGACAGTCACCAGGGAGACAGTGGCTGTGCAGAGGTAGAAGCACTCAGCAGACTGTGGAGGTAGAGTTGATGGGACCTAGCGATTCTAGCTAGGGGCTGGAGTAACATCCTTGGGTATAGGAGAACAACACATATTTAGGAAGGGCTGTTCGCAGATGGGAATCTGGGTCAGCCTTATGGTATAGCAACTTTGCTTTTCAAGAGTATACTCAGGTATTATCAACAGCTTTTGTGCCCTCTCCTTTCCACGGCTTCCCTGAGGCCTGAGCCAGCTGCTGTGGTTTGAGATTAGCTGTAGGCAGCATACAGTGATTCTAATTGTGGCGCCTCTGAATCCTTGAATTCCATGCTTTTCAATTACAGTACAAAGGGAAAAACACCTACTTGGAGAAGATCGATGGCTTTCGAGCTTATTATAAGCAGTGGCTGAAAATGATGCCAGCAGAGGAAACTCCCCACCCATGGCAGCAGTTCCGAACCAAGCCCACGGGGGACCAAGACACTGTCTCTGCGGCTGATGTGGACAGAGGCCGTGGGGACAGGTGATGAGGAGGCCCAGGAGGATCTCCATCCAACAAAGTGCACAGCCTTCACAGTGCTTTGTGGGAACTTCAGGAGTCCCTTTCATATTAAAGACACATGAACATGCTGGTGTAGCCTCAAGCATGAGGACAAGGTCTGGCCAGAGTAAGAATTGCTGCATTTTGTATAAAGACAAATGCTGGGCCCAGGTGCCTGACTAGTTCACAGCAGATCCCAGCACAGCTTGGGCCACTTTGGCACATCATCTCAGGCCATCTTCACCTGAGAGGTTGTCATCCCCAGGGAACTTGATCCTGGTCACATGGCAGGTGGAGTCAGGATTGAGTCCCAATGGCCTGGTGCTCTCCCACTGGGCTCTGTAAAGAACTATCGCAGGGCCTAAAGGTTTAAAAGTTTTATTTCTACAAATCACAGCTGATGAACACCAAAGCCTTCACACATAGAGACCATGCTCCAACTCGGTCCTGTGGCACTGCTCTGCCAGAAGAGCTATCAGGAAAGGGGATGGCACGACAGGCAGAAACCTGAGAAGTCCAAAGTCCTGGGTGGAAAGGGGTCAGGGCCCAAGGGCCTCAGCCAGAGCAGCCCCGGCAGCCGCAGTGTGTGCACTCAATGATCCGGCCCTGCAACAGAAGATAGTTGAGACACCGCACCCAAGCATATTCCTCCCCCATCCCCCCACCCCCACCCCCACGTAGTAATCCTCCCACTGAGAAAATTGACAATGGGAGTCACTCCCTATAGGGCACTCCTCTATGACAGTTCTGGATGGCAAAAATTCAGTTCCTGTGTGAAAATGGAAACAGCTGCTGTTGACACTAAAGTTACAACTCATTGTACTTTTAATTTAAGCCAATTAAACTAAACACATTTCTCCCAAAAGGGGAAAATCTGTGTGACTCTTGTTATTCTGTAAAGTGAGCATGATATACCCTGCTATGAGCTGAGGGGGTGGGGGGAATTCCTACTGTTCAGGGGTCTCAGATCCTCGGCTGGGGAACCTTCCAGTAGGCCATGGGGAGAGAATGGTATGCACTTGAATCTGTACAGTAGCAGAAGTCTTTTCTCCCAGGCCAGGGGCCTGTCTAGTAGACAGAAGACCTCAAAGCAGTGGTTTATATTTATTTTTCTCTGTTTTGGAGTAAGACCCTTACCTAAGCAAATAAGATCTGATGGTGAAACCAAACTAAGTCCAAAGCAGGCTCTGTTCTGACCATAAGGCTGGGGGAGTACCTCCCACCAGACGCTGCCATGGAATCCTGGTGGTCTCAGAGGAGCTCCTGCCACTCTGCCCCCAGAAAACTAACATCCAGAACCTTCCCTTGGGGAGGCAGCCCTCGTTCACTTTCCACTGTTCAGAATGCTGTGTCTTTAACTTTCCAGATGATTCAGGGAGACAGCTGCCTACTGAGCTAAAGCCCTGGCCCAGAGCTGAAACTACAAACTAACTGGTCTGCAGAGTAAAGGGTCCCTGTGGTGACTGTGAAAGGCCGAACCAGAAGATGAAAAATCTGGCTTCAGCTCCCAACTGGACCCACAACTGTCAGCCAAGGGGCTACACTCAAAGGCCACTAATGGCCAACATCCCAGTAACTTCTCTGCCTCCTGTAGCCCCATTTCAGAGGGGCTTGTGCTCTCAGCTCAGTTACTGCATACCCAGCACCATTTCCGAGGTTTGTAACTCAAAAGTTCTGACAGAAAAAATAGTGTAATTAAAGTGCCGAGGCCTGGAAAAAAGCACAGCTGAAGAGTGAGTACTATTGACTGCCTCACCCTTCCCTGACTCAGTCCTCCCAACCACCTTAGAGGTAGATGTTATTACTCCCATTTTGTAAGTGAGGCATGGAATTCAATAACTTGCTCAAAGATGGAGTTGAGGCTGGCCCCCAGACAAAGCAAATACAATTACTGCCAAACTGCCTAGCATGGCTTCCTGAACAGAGGGGACTGGCTTCTGGGATGGGGGTGGGAGGGAATGGCCAGCAGGACATCCAGCAGCCAAATTATTTCCAGCCCCCACAAGTATAAACTCTCTTGGTGTCAACTAGGACAGAATTCTGAAGTGACAGTGACATCAAGTCAAAAGTCAGTCATGATAGGGATAGAGACATTACCACTTCCAGCTTGCTTTTGGGAACCCGGCAAATGCAATTTGTCCCAAAATTGGTGTCTCGTGTCTGAATGCACCGCAGGCAGCATAAGTTCTCATAACCCTGCTTTTTCCATTTTGCAATCAGGTTTTTGTCTGCATAGCCTTCTTTAATACAATATTCATATAGTTCTGTCAAAAAGATGGGAAAAGGGCATCAGATCATGGTAAAACAAAGCTTGCCCCACCCCTGGCCCATCACTACTCTTCATTGAATAGAATATCCAACATTGCCCCCCCCCCCCCTTTTTTAGTGGTAAGAGAAATCATGAAACTTGCTGAGGTTGCTATACTAGAGCCATTACTTAAATAAATCTCAAAGCTACTCAAGTTGGAAAGGCTAAGAGAGAATCTAGCCAATTACCTCTGCTTATGGCTTTCCGCTTATAGAAGAGGTCAAAAATATAGCGGGTTTTCTGGTGGTGGATCCTGAAGATAGGCCACAGAGATTCCACTTTCCTCTTTCCCTCATGAGGTTCTGTTTCAGCTGGGGAGAAAAAGGTGTTTGATTTATTTTGGCAGGCAGGGTTACTCTGCACAGGATATAGTGGTGTGTGTTTTTAAATAAGGAGGAATAAAGAATAAATCCTACTTTATACCCACTAGGGTGGTTACAATAAAAAATGAGACACAATTAAAAAAAGACAAATAGGATGTGGAGAAATCGGAATCCTCACTTGCAGCTGATAGGAATGTAAACTAGTGCAGTCTGTGTGGAAAACAATCTGGCAGTTCCTCAGGAAGATAAACAGAGTTACCATAAGACTTAGCAATTCTACTCCTGAGTATATACCCAAGAGAATCAGAAACACACATGCAAACAAAAACTTGTATGTGAATGTTCACAGAAGCATTATTCACAATAGCCACAAAGTAGAGACAGTTCCAGTGTCCATCAACTAATAAACAGATAAAATGTAAACAATACAATGAGATATAATATATATATATATAAAAGACTAAGTGACCGACCATATGACCATCCGACTGACTGGTACATATGACGTGCACTGGCAATTTAAAAATAAACGTTGACTCACGCATGCGTGATACATATAAAGCTCTCACTGGCCCCAATCTAGACAGAGTAGGAATATTCCTACCTGAACCCGTTTTGGGACATGGTGAGTTATATGTTGTTTTTCAGGTTCGAAGAGCATGTGATGATAAAGTTGAAGTTGTAAATATTTCATCACAAGGGAAATTAGTCAAGCACTCTGAAAGTGTTTTTACTCTTAATGTGGTATACAGGGAGATATTAGAATAAGTTTAATCAATTTATCAGTCATTGTTTTTATCAGTGTTGTTTTTATATCATGTCTTTGTTGTTATTATGTCCCATGTTATTGTTTATTTATTAATCAATTTATATATTCTTTTCATATACATTTTAGTAATATTTTTTCATCTCTGACACTTCTATTATAAAGGGCGAATAGTGATATTAAAATATTTCTTCTAATAATTTCCTTTCAATGTGCAAGAATCCGTGCACTGGGCCACTAGTTCAGTCATAAAAAGGAATGAAGTACTGAGACATGCATGCTACAACATAGATGAATCTTTATTTTTTAAATTTTTTGGGTGAACCTTTCAAATTACACTAAATGAAAGAAACTAGTCCCCAAAGCCAACCTACCATATGATTCTATGTCTTTAGAGACAGCAAGTGGATTACTGATAGCCTAGAACTGGATGGCCGGGGGGCGGGGTGTGTGTGTGTGTGTGTGTGTGTGTGTGACTACTAAAGGGTATGCATTTTTTCGGGGTGATGAAATGTGAAACTGATGGTGGTGATGGGTTGCCCAACTCTGTGACTATACTAAAAACACCCTTTATTTGAACACTCTGAAAGGGCAAATTTTACATTATATGATTTATATCTTAATACAGCTATTTTTAAAAAATAAAGCAAAAAGAATAAGCCACATGATTTAAAATATTTTTAAAAATATATCTTTATTGATTCCAGGGGGAGGGAGGGAGGGAGAGAGAGAGAGAGAGAGGGAGAGAAACACCAATGATGAGAGAGAATCATTGATTGGCTGCTTCCTGCACACCCCACACTGGGGATGGAGCCTGCAACCCAGACATGTGCCCCGGCCAAGGAATTGAACCATCATCTTCTAGTTCATAGGTTGACGCTCAACCACTGAGCATAATTGTGGGCATAATTATTTTAAATTTAAAATGCCTTTTTAATTACATAAATTGCAAAACAATTCAAACATACCCTCTGTGAACACCCTGGTCTTTATCCTTCCAAACCTAGTTCTACAGTCTAATAATTTCTCAACATAATTCTGGGCCAACAGACTGGCATCCTAATCATCTTTAAAGTACCTCTAATTTCATTGCCAACCAAAATCCTTTAGGGATAAAAGAAAAATAAAATTGGACTAATCTGAAAGTTCATAGTATGGCAGGCCTGCAGGAAATAACTGCTTCATCTATATATATAGGATTGGGTAGCAGCTCACACCTGCCACAGACAATTCTCTTAGTTACAAGTTGATCTTTATCTACCACCTCCTCTAGGTTTTTAGAGCAGAGGAGAAAGGTGAGATATGGTAAAAAAAAACAACAACACAAAACAACAAACCATACCTCCATTTCTCCAACTTTGAGGCCATTTTAAAAAAATATATATATTTTTATTGATTTTTTACAGAGAGGAAGGGAGAGGTATAGAGAGTTAGAAACATCAATGAGAGAGACACATCGATCAGCTGCCTCCTGCACACCTCCTACTGGGGATATGCCCACATCCAAGGTACATGCCCTTGACCGGAATCGAACCTGGGATCCTTCAGTCCACAGGCCAACGCTCTATCTACTGAGCCAAACCAGTTAGGGCTGAGGCCATTTTTAAAACCTAAGATTTATAATTCAGCTCAACAAATGGTTTCTGTGATTGAATCAAGATGTAGGTGCTAGGACACAGCAAAAGCACACTGTGTGCCTCATGGGGAGAAAGCCCTGCTCTGGGTGCCCAAGATACAGCAGTAGGGAAGACAGAGAAGCCCTGGCACTGTGTTCCAGGGAAGGAAAGCAGATCAACACCTAGTAGTTAAGTTGTAACAGAGGGCAAGTGGGGAAAGGAGGGACTGCCATTTTATACAGATGATCAAAGAAAGCACAAAGGAGATATCTAAACAGGGACCTTAAGAAACCAGGGGTCCAGCTGGCATGGCTCAGTGGTTGAGTGCTGACCTTTGAACCAGGAGGTCATGGTCGATCCCCAGTAGGGGGGTGTGCAGGAGACAACCGATCAATGATTCTCATCATTGATGTTTCTATCTCTCTCTCCTTCTCCCTTCCTCTCTGAAATCAATAAAAATGTATTTAAAAAACCCAACAACAACAAGGGATGTGGGTGGGCTGGAAGGTGGGCAAAATGGGTGAAGATGGTAAAAGTGTACAAACTTCCAGTTATAAGATAAACTAGAGGCCTGATGCATGAAATTCATGCAAGAGTAGGACTTAGCAGCTGCGGTGGCTGCCGGGATCCTTCCCTCGCAGCCACGGCGGCTGCCTAGATCCCACAGCTGCAGCCCCAGCTTCATCCAGAAGGACATCTGGAAGGATGTCCAGTCTAATTAGCATATTATGCTTTTATTATTATAGACTAAAGGCATGGTGCATGAAAATTCATGCACTGGAGGGGGGGGGGTCCCTCACTGGCCTGCCCCCTCTCACAGTCCAGGAGCCCTCAGGGGCGGGAGGCGACCTGGCAATCAGGGGAAGGCGACGCCCCCATCACACCTCTGCTGCTGCCACTGCCAGCAGCGCAAGCCTTGGCCGGCCCTGGTTACCTGAGCCTCGGGCGGCCCTGAGTGGCTGGGCAGACACCATCTGAGGTTTGTCTGTGCCTCGGGCCGGACCTGGGTGGCTGGGGGGCTAAGGAGACTGGGGGACTCTGGAGGCAGCTGCATACCTGCCACCCTGTCAGGGCTGAGGGGACTGGGCTCAGCAGTTGAACGTTGACCTATGAACAAAACGTTCACTGGTTCAATTCCAGGTCAGGGCACATGTCCAGGTTGCAGGCTCAATCCCCAGGAGGGGGTATGCAGGAGTCAGCGGGTCAATGATTCTCTCTCATCATTGATGTTTCTCTCTATCCCTCTCACTTCCTCTCTCTCTAAAATCAATAAAAAAAATATTTTTAAAAGTTTAAAAAATATGTATCTCTACATACTAGACTTTAAAAAATATCTGTAATGCCAATATCCCAACAAAATCAACCATTATTCCAGTTTATCATCCCATATTAAGTCCATGTTCAATTTTCATTGATTGCTTCAAAAATATCTGTTGACAACTATGTGTCTGAATTAAGATCTAAACAACATCCAGATGTTGTATTTGGTTGATCTGTCTCAAGTATTGTTTATTTGTAACAGTTTTCCCTCTCTGTTCTGCCACCCTTTGTAGGAATCTGGATGTCTTCGATGCTTGGATAGGAATAAGAGGGGAATCAAGGAAAGCTCCACAGTGTGTGGCCTGAGAAGGGAAGCAGCTTTGAGGTGGGTTAATGAGGATTTAGTTCTGGACCTGTTAAGTTTGAGATGTTTTAAAATATCTAAATGGGGCCCATCCAATAGGTAGTTGGTATAGTCTAGTGTGGCATCAAGACTGGAGAAGACATTTGGTCACCTGGGTAGAGTTGGCTGGATGAGAACATTGGGGAAAGGTGGGAGCATGACGCCATCCTGGAAGTGAAACCTTCCTATGCTTTGAATCTTCTCTCAATCTTTTAATCATAGCATCACCTACATTTTAAAAATCCCTTTTTGGACCCATTTTCACAAGATCATGTGAATATTCTTTTTTTCCCTTTTAAAAATTTTTTTTCTTTTTAATAGAGAGAAAGGAGAAAGAAACATTGATCAGTTGTCTCCCATATAAACCCTGACCAGTGATCATGAATCTGTAACCTATGTGTGTGCCCAGACTGGGAATCAAACCCATAACCTTTTGGTGTACTGGACGACGCTCCAGTGGACTGAGCCACTGGCCAGGGCAAGATGTGATCATTCTTGGATATCGTTTTGTACAGGTTCACACACAAAGGGGAAGGCAGCTTTCGGTGGGTGACGTGGAGTCTCGTCACTATGAGAATATGAGAAGCCAGAGGTAGGGGACATGGTGCCATAGTCTAGACTTACATTTTTACGTCTTTGCTAATGTCAAAAACTGCCCATTAACTTCAAAACCTGGCAACACTTCTTTTATAGTACTATTATTTAAAAGTCTAATTAAATGTTTAGTATGCAAGTGTTATGCTCGATTTGCAACTAGTTTAAAGTCCTTATAAAAACAAAGTTATTTACAAGTCTCAGTTACAGTTCATAGAGAAAATGTCTTTGTCAAATCCCCATAAAACCCTCTGCCACACATAATTTCCACCACCTCTGCCCCTTAGTCCCTTTTTTGTGGGGGACTTACAGGGCAACAGTGGCTATACACAAACTTGAGTAATGAGCTAAGAGACATATGAAGAGCTGAGAAGTTGTACTGAGCTAGGAAATACTGGGGACAAACAAAGAGAAAACAGAAACTTTCCTTCCTAAGTAACAGTGCCAACTGCTCCAGTAAGTGTGAGTGGTTCTGTTAATGGCCCTCAGATCAAGAGAACAGGGCTGGTAATGCCACTGGCTTTGTGCCTCTTTGCCAAAGGCCACACGTGGCCTAGAAACACTGCCACAGATTCCACAGGCAAAACTTGCACTGGAGGCTACAAAATGGAAGCTGGCAGGCTTTGTTTGGCTCCTCCCAAAAAATACTTCTTTATGTTTGAATTTTAAATTAGGAGAGTTCAAATAAAATAGCTGGATTTCTGGCTTCTCTTGAAGGGTTGGAAATGCTCAGCCTGTATTCAAAATGGTAAAATGGGCTCGAGGTAAGTAGCAGCCTCTGCCCCTCCCCAGTCTGCCACATCCCCAGAGCTTCCTCCCTATGGTGCCCAACACTGAAGCCAAGTCTGGTACCACCTGGCATCCACTCTGCTTTCTTTATAGTGGAAGTAAAAGTAAAGTGGGAAAGCAAAGAAATGCTGAAGGGCAACATGGTTAAATAAAAATGGGACAAAGAATACTTCTTTTGGAGATAAAGAAAATCATATACTTCTAAATACTCTCCCCCCAAAAGTTATCCCTTAATAATGGAAGATTTTTTTCAAGGACTCGTTAAATTTCATATCTTATAGCACTCTCCAAGTTCCTTTATTTTGAATAAAGATCTATTTGGGGAAGAAATTGCTCAGCCCCAAATGATCTTGATTACTTTAAGTTCTGGGTATTTTTTAAAAAAATATATTTTATTGGTTTTTTATAGAAAGGAAGGGAGAGGGATAGAGAGTAAGAAATATTGATGAGAGAGAAACATCAATCAGCTGCCTCCTGCACATCTCCCACTAGGGATGTGCCCACAACCCAGGTACATGCCCTTGACCGGAATCGAACCTGGGACCTTTCAGTCCGCAGACCTACGCTCTATCCACTGAGCCAAACCGGTTAGGGCAAGTTCTGGGTATTTAATAGAGGTTTTGAAAAAAAGAGGCAAAGTAATTTAACACTGATTTAGTAATTATTGCTGAAGGTATGACCTCATAATAACAAAGGTTAGATTAGTTACCTAAAGCTTAAAAAAAAAAGATCACTTTAAAAAGCAATTTATTAAGTTGTAAATTACATGGCTGTGATCATATAAAGCCAACAGATGCTTGTGACTTAAGATAAAATTTCCAAAACAGCACACTACACTGATTCACAAAATACAGAATCATACAGCATTTTAGAGGGAAGTGAAGATGGTGCATTCTGGAAAACTGGTTGATGATGCAGAAACAAAGTTGAGGAAAATAGTGTCAGAAACCTATAAGAAAAATCTGAATAAAAATGTTTCAGAAAAAAAGTGAAAAGAACAGGACTTTCCAAGTAAATATATTTTGTATCATTTTCAATATATATCCAACCAAAATAGTAAGTAATTATAGATAAACTATTTGATCTATATTCCCTAAAACTTTTATAATAAAATTGGCCCAAAAATGTTTTTGAGGCCTCTTTCATTAGTGTTATCTTACTTTATGACACTTATTGCATTCTTATGACTTAGTAAGCAAACAAAACATATCAGTGTCTGAAGACCACAGTAGTGCCCTCTCTTTGCATTTATGCCTGGCCCATAGAGACGTCTAAGCCTGTCTCTTGGATGCAGCCCACCCAGACAGGAACTCCTCGACTCACCTTCTCTCATCTTTTGATCTAATTCATCCAGTGTTGGTTCAATCAATTCCCAGCCATCTGGGGGAGCTTTCCGGCTTCTTTTGACTTTAGGCATTTTCCCCCAAAAGATAATCTGCAAAGACCTAGAAGGGAAAATTAAATGAATTAGTTGCTGATCCTCAGATCACCAAAGGTCTTCACCAGCCTCCACTGTATACATTCACTTCACTAACTCTGTTACCTAATCTGTAAAATGGAGATAACAGAACCTATATTATGGGGTCATCATGAAGACTTAACTATAATTGTATGTAACATGCCTGGCTTTTAATGTGTGTGTGTGTGTGTGTGTGTGTTTTCTGTTATCATTAACTGACACTAACTATTAGCCTGGCCCTGTACTGGATATTGGGAACATAGAACAAAGAATAAGACATTACAATCTCTGTCCCTGAGAAGGTGACATTCTAGCAAGGAGATAGGAAGTAAAAAGGCAATTACAGAAAGTGTGGTAACTGATTGAGGGAGCTGAGAGGACAAGTGCTTAAAAAGGAAAAAGAGACCTGGCCTCTGTGGTTCAGCTGGCTGGAGCCACATCCTGCATACCAGAAGGTCTCAGGTTTGATTCCAGGCCAGGGCACATACCTAGGCCATACAGGAGGCAACCGACCAACCTAAGTCTCTCACATCGATGTGTCTCCCTCTCTCTCCCTCTCTTTCAAAATACATCAAGGCTACCTCCAAAGAGGTAACTGAAAGATCTCTCTTCAGTTACAGGTTCAGGTTCTTTTCTAGGTCTATCAATTACTCTGTGACTTTGAGCAGGTCACATTCCCACTCTGGTACTCAGTCTCATCTGTAAAATGAGGGCAGTGGGTTAGCTGGTTTGTCAACATCTCTTTAGAAACTCAACAAACATACTACACAGAGGCAAATCATGTAAAGCCCATATAATAGTCCAGCCCAAATGTAAACAGTAAAGAAATATTTTCAAACCTCATAGCATATCCTAGATCAGCGGTTCTCAACCTGTGGGTCGAGACCCCTTTGGGGGTCGAACGACCCTTCACAGGGGTCGCCTAAGACCATTGGAAAACACATATTTAATTACATATTGTTTTTGTGATTAATCACTATGCTTTAATTATGTTCAATTTGTAACAATGAAAATACATCCTGCATATCAGATATTTACATTACGATTCATAACAGTAGCAAAATTACAGTTATGAAGTAGCAACGAAAATAATTTTAGGGTTGGGGGTCACCACAACATGAGGAACTGTATTAAAGAGTCACGGCATTAGGAAGGTTGGGAACCACTGTACTAGATGGATAAGCATAGCAGATTCCCCTCTCCCAAATTCATTCAGCTCCTCCCTTCCGTCCGGTCCCTGACAGCCCAACAAGCAAACAGGAATTAAACTCCAGAAGGTTTACTGAAGTCAAGGTCGCACAGCTTGGAACTGGCAGCGTATGACTCTGATTGGAAGCTCCCGACTCCCAAATCCGTGATCTTTGCACTTGTTTCCCCTCCGCTGAAACTAAAGAAGGGTGGAATCTGGTTCCTGCCCCAGCGCCCAACGGCTGGGAGGACAAAGACTCGGGAACAACCACTCCGCAGTCACCCAGGGAAATTCGAGGGCCCTGGCCCAGCCTGGGAGTCAAGAGGAGGTGACAGGTAGAAGGTAACTAAATCAAGAAGAGGTGTCGGGGGGTCTAAGAGAAGTAGTAGCGCTCGGCAGAGGCGGCGAGTGGAAAGACTTTCGGAAGAAAGGAGGGAAGGTTCATAGAGAAGACAGCATCTGAACCGGGCTTACAAGAACAAGCAGATTTTTTTTTTTTTTTTTTTTTTTACAAAAAACAACAACAACCAAAAACCAAAACACGTTCTTGGCAGAGAAAACTGTGTGTGTGTGTGTGGGGGGGGGGGAGGGATGGAAACAGAGAAACCCCAAATCTCCCATCCCCTCTCCAGAATGAGCGAGGCGCCATCTCCTCTCTGTAGCTCACTCCCATCTCCAGGGGCCCAAACCCGTCCCAGTCCAGCCGCTCGGAACGCCCTCTAGGCCAGCGCAGACCTCCAGTCCCTGGCCCATCTTTACCAAGATGCTCGAGAAACAGAGAAAAACACCCACCTCTAGTGCTGTCAGGAAGCCGAGCTCAGGCTCCCAAAGGGATGCAAAAGACAGAGGGATGTAACAGCAGCCTGCGGCGTAGTAGTGTCGCTTCTGTCCCGTCCGCTTCCGCTTCCCAGATTATCGCTTCAGGATGAGGTCCTCGCGGAGCCCCGCCCCACCTCGCGCAAATATTGCGTCATCTTAGGTGCCCAAAGCCCTGCCTGTAAAGAAAACCGACCGGCCGCTGCTTTTTTGCTCTCACTTTCCAAGGGTTGGCCAGCCGACTCACGCGTCTCTCCGGGCGGGGAGAGTGGGGGCGCTGTTGCCCGGCAGCACGCGGACGAGCCTGAACTCAGGCGGCGCGCGGGACAGTCCAGCTCCCCGCAGCTGAGTCCCTGAGATGCCCAGTTCTCTTGGAGACGGCGGCGGCGGCAGCGCGCGGAGGGGACAGTGCTGGGCGGAAGGAGTCGAGCCCAAGGCATTTCCGGTTCCGGTGTCAGTGTGAGGCGCCGCCGCCGCCGCAGCTGCCAGAGCCGCGATGCCTAAAGGAGGTGAGGAGCGGGCGCGTGAGCCCCGTGGGCCTCGAGGGGCGATCCCAGTCTGGCTCCCGCTGTCCCAGCCCCCGGGCGTCTCAGAGAGCGGCGCAGAGGGAGGATGTCCGTGCCGACTGAGGGCCAGGCCTAGGCCTCGACGCCGAATTGTCCGGATGGGGAGACTGAGGACCATAGTGGCCTCATACCACTCCTCGGGGGTCTGCGGAGACTCGGAGGCTCTGGGTCCTCACCGACGCAGAAGGCCAGACCTAGGGCGCGCTTCTCCCCGGGGACGGGGGGCGGGGGAGGGGGGGGGGTCTGGAGCTTTCTCTATTCTAGGCTCGCCAGACACTGAGTCACCGTGTCCAGCGCCTGTGCAGCGCCCGCTTGCCTCGTGTGTAAAACGTGGGCCCTCCCGGGCTCTGGGCGAGAGAGGCCTGCCCAGTGAGACATAAGGTGATGCTCCTGAGCCTGGCCGACTCCGCTTTGACTGCCCTCTTCAGCAGCGGCTTGATGTGTATCTTTGAGCCAGTCGCTTAACCTCCCTGTGTCGTGGTTTCCTCATTTGCAAGTAAGGGTTATAATTGTGCCTACCTCATAGTATTGATGCGAGGCTTAAACTAGGTAATCCCGTGGAGTGCGCATAGGTGCCTAGTGAGCTTTAACTCTTGTTATTTGTAAACTTTGTCGGTTCCTTGGCCAAGAAGGTAAAGAATCCGTGGCTTCCCAGTACATTGTTCATCCTCCTCCATCCTTTTTCCCCCAAGAGTCAATAGTTCTCGATTTGAAGCCCATCCGGTGGCTCTGGACCGGATATTTATCATCTTCCAGACTGTTCTCCTCATCTGGAACACCTGGCTGATAAGCCTTAAGTTGGAGAGTTGGGATTAGGGGTAATAAAATGATAAGAGTACTTGAAGTGCCTGGCTAGCTCCTGGCACAGAACAGATATTCAGTTAATGTTGGCAGCTCATGTGTCATGTTAAGATGTATCAGCCCACAGGAAAATCTACTTGGAACTTTTTCAAACCTAAATGACTTCCTGACTCTACTTCCAGAGATAATTGGACTTTACAGAGTTTGATCCATTTAAGCCTAGGTATCTGCTGGCTTAGTCTGCGGTAGGGAGAGCCTCATCTCCTCTCTGCTCCTTAGTTTCCTGTTATGCACAAGGAGGATGCTAAGTGAGCCCTTCTGACTCCACAATTCTGGCTCTAGGAGTTCTACTTAATAGCTACTTTGAGGCAAGGTTGGAGGGTACAATTAGAAAGTCCTAAATATGAATTCTTGGTTAAATGACATGGCCTTTTGACTTGTGAAAAACTTTATGTATAAAGATTTACATTTATTGCTTTACATTAATTTGCTTCAAAAGCAAAGCAAAACATGAAAATGTTAAAGTATCAAATTCCTCATGAACAAAGAACCAATATTTGTTTCCATTTAAAAACTGAAGCATTTTTAAAGGTATAAAGAGCTGATAAAAGTTATTGTAGACCAAACTAAGGTCAGCATCCCATAGCCAAGTGCGCAGGATAGAAGCCTATAGTAGCCGGTTTTGAGTTGTTACTAGTGCCTAGAATATTCAAAGGGCAAGAAAGGGTGTTGGTTTCTTATAATGGCAAGCTTGGTCTTTCACAATAGGACTTTCATGAGCATAGACTGAGACACTCCTGGGAACCCAGGTAGTCATTAAAGATGGGTGGTGTCCTTTGTAGCAGCCCAATTATGGCTATGCAGCTGCTGTCTAGGAAATCAGGGAGGCCAGTATCTCTGTTACTGTCTCTGGAGTCCAGAGCAGCTCTGACTGTCTAACACAGATTCTCTGCTATTAGTGAGAGACTCACTGGAAATCAGGTGGACCACAGCTTTCAGGAAAGGTGGGGATGGGTCAAAGCCACAGCTAACCCAGTATCCTCTGGGACCAGTAGAAGGGCTATAAAACTGGCTGATGGCTTTAGCAGGGGTCAGTCTATAAAACTGATACTCTTAGATGAACTTTAATTGCTAATCATATATATTTTTTAAATTTCAAATTTTTATTGTTGAGAGTATTATAGATGTCCCGCTTTTCCCCCCCTTGGCTCCCCTCCACCCAGTTCCTGTCCCACCCAGCCTTTACCACCCTATTTCCTGTGTCCATAGGTAATGCACATACACATATAAGATATTTGGTTAATCTCTTCCCACCCCCCTTCCTTCTGAGATTCGTCAGTCTGTTCCATGTTTCTATGCCTCTGATTCTATTTTATTCATCAGTTTATTTTGTTCATTAGATCTCTTGTTCATATATTTTATTTTTAGATTCAATTGTTGAATAGATATATGTGTATTGCCATTTTATTTTTCATATTTTTAAATAGTTTTTTCTTCTTCCTCATATATTTTTATTGATTTCAGAGAGGAAGGGAGACGGAGAGATAGAAATATCAGTGATGGCCGAAACTGGTTTGGCTCAGTGGATAGAGCGTCGGCCTGCAGACTGAAAGGTCCCAGGTTCCATTCCGGTCAAGGGCATGTACCTGGGTTGCGGGCACATCCCCAGTAGGAGATGTGCAGGAGGCAGCTGATCGATATTTCTCTCTCATTGATGTTTCTAACTCTCTATCTCTCTCCCTTCCTCTCTGTAAAAAATCAATAAAGTATATATTTAAAAAAAAAAAAGAAATATCAGTGATGAAGGATAATCATTGATTGGCTGCCTCTTGCGCACCCCCTAGTGAAGATCGAGCCCACAACCCAGGCATGTGCCCTTGACCAGAATTGAACCTGGGACCCTTTAGTCCGCAGGCTGATGCTCTATCCACTGAGCCAAACTAGCTAGGGCATCTTCTTCCTCTTAAAGAATACCCTTCAGCCCGGCTGGCGTGGCTCAATGGTTGAGCTTCAGCCTGTGAATTAGGAGGTCACAGTTTGATTCCCCATCAGGGCACATGCCCGGGTTGCCGGCTCGATCCCCAGTGTGGGGCATGCAGGAGGCAGCCAATCAGTGACTCTCATCATTGATGTTTCTATCTTTCTCTCCCTCTCCCTTCCTCTCTCTGAAATCAATAAATATATATTAAAAAACAAACAAAAAATGAATACCCTTCAATATTTCATGTAGTACTGGTTTGGTGATGATCTCCTTTTGCCTTTTCTTGTCTGTGAAGCTGTTTATCTGACCTTCAATTCTAAATGATAGCTTTGCTGGGTAGAGTATTCTTGGTTATAGTTCCTTGCTATTTATCACTTTGAATATTTCTTGCCACTCCCTTTTGGCCTGCAAAGTTTCTGTTGATAAATCAGCTGACAGTCGTATGAGTACTCCCTTGGAGGTAACTAACTGCTTTTCTCTTCCTGCTTTTAAGATTCTCTCTTTGTCTTTAGCTCTTGGCATTTCAATTATTATTTTTTTAAAGGAATGAGTATTTAATTTTTTTGTTTGTTTTGTTAATCCTCACCCAAGGATATTTTTCCATTGATTTTTAGAGAGTGGAAGAGAGAGGGAAAGACAGAGAGGAATATCAATGTGAGAGAAACACTTCGATTGGTTACCTCCTGCACAAGCCCTGACTAGGGCCCAGGCCAGGGAGGAGCCTGCAACCAAGATATGTGCCCTTGACCTGAATGGAACCCAGGACCCTTCGGTCCACAGGCTGATGCTCTATTCACTGAGTCAAACTGGCTAGGGCTTGGCATTTTTTTTCTTCTTTTTTATGGGGGCAGGGGAGGGGAGCATGGAGCAAGGCTGACCCAGAGGCGGCGGACCTGTTGCAAAGTGGTGGTGGTGGGACGGCGCAGGTCCGCATAGCCCTCCCCACAGCTGGGGCACCTCAGAGCCTGGGCCCAACCCTGCTGGGTTCCGGACGCGGTTTTGTCTCCTCCATGCTCTTGGCCGCAGGCTGCCTCCTCCTCTCTGAAACCAATTAACCCAGGCTAGGGCTTGGCATTTTAATTATGATGTGTCTTTGTGTGGTCCTTTTTGGGTTCCTCTTGTTTGGGACTCTGTGCTTCCTGGACTTATAAGTGTACACGTGATTTTCAAAAATTCTATAGTATATCCTACCTAATAAAAGAGAAAACATGGTAATTAGCATACGTCCGCTAACCTTCCCATTGGCTAGTCAGGGTGATATGCAAATTAACTGCCAGCCAAGATGGCAGCCGGCAGCCAGGCAGCTTGAAGCTAACATGAGGCTTGCTTGCTTCAGTGACGGAGGACTCCCACGTTCCCCGCCTGCCGCTGCTGGCCTCTGAGCTTGCAGTTTGAAATATTGTTACAAATATAGAAGCTAAACAAAACCCCAGAAACCTGCTTTCAGCCCGCCGGGATCTCAGAGCTGGAGTTGATACAGTGTTTCAATTATAGAACCCAAACAAACCAGATACCTGCTTTCAGCAGCAGAGGCCTCAGAGCTGGAGCCAGAGCTAAAGCTGGCCCAGAATAAAAAAAAAAAGAAAGAAAAAAAGGAGCAGTTGGGAGCTTCAGTCACATGCCAGCCTGAAAACAGCCCTCAGCCCCTCACCCAGACTGGCCAGGCATCCCAGTGGGGACCCCCACCCTGAAGGGTGTGTGACCAGCTGCAAACAGCCATCATCCCCTCACCCAGGCTGGCCAGGCACCCCAGTGGGGACCCCCACCCTGATCCAGGGCACCCTTCAGGGCAAACCACCCGGCCCCCAACCCGTGCACCAGGCCTCTATCCTATATAGTAAAAGGGTAATATGCCTCCCAGCACCCGGATCAGCGGAGCCGCGAGGCCTCCTGGCACTGGGATCAGCATGATGGGGCAGTACCCAAACCCCCTGATCGCCCTGCGGCTCTGTGTGTGACAGGGAGCGGGGCCACAACCTCCCTATCCGCCCTGCTCTGTTCGTGACAGGGGAAGGCGCCCCAACCCCCTGATCAGCCCTGCTCTGTGCCTGATAGGGGGGAGCTCCCCAACCCCCTGATCGCCCTGTGGCTCTGTGTGTGACAGGGTGTGGCGCCCCAACCCCCTGATCGGCCCTGCTCTGTGTGTGACAGGGTGCGGCGC